CGGAGTAACAAAATATTCACGTGTCAAATTAAGTCCAGTCTGCTATATAAAGTGGTGTGTGCAAATTCATTTGGTTCATTATATTGTGAACCAGAATAAAAATGTAGTTAGTAGACTGGATTGTCTTTTAAGGTTAGTAAATATTTTACTGTTGTTTGATAGATTGCTTTTATAAATTTAGAAGAAACGAGTTTAAAGATTTAAAAGATGTTTTCCAGTAAAGTAAATTTTATTCATATTCGCAAGTAAAATCGTGATATAGATTAAATAAATTATACGCAAAGTTAAAAATAATATTAAGGTAAATGATTTAAATAAAAGGTTCTTAACTTATAAAAAGGATATTTAACTTCTTTGTAAAGATAACTTTTGAAAATACAATTCTTATTTTGATACTTGATTTAATATTAAAAGTAAATGAGTTAAGGGGAGATAACAAATGACTTGACTGTTCATTTATGGCGCGTATACTATTGTCGGGTTTTGTATTATTGTTCGATTTATATCGCGAAATATTTGGTGTATAACTATGATGGAAAAGTAATGTAATCTGTATTGTAACTGTTGTAAATATAGATTGGACTGTGAATCAGAATAAAAATGTAGTTAGCAGACTGGATTGTCTTTTAAGGTCCTGTTGTCATGCCGAGTCCAAGCTAGTTCCCAAATAATGCAACATCAATGTGAGCAGTTCCCCGCAAAAAGAATTAATAACAACATGAAAGAAAGAAAGACAACAACACGAATTACAAAGACGGGACCAAGTTCCCGCATAATACAGACACAAATTGTACAAAGTTTTACTATAATAGGTATCAAAGGAATAAGTCAAGGTCAAAGTGATCAGACTTTGGGATATGACACGTCCACAGACCATGACCTACTGAGTTAAACTGTTTGATAACCCAAAGTTTAATACACAAACTTTATGAAATGGGCACAAATTGGATAAAGTCAACTATCATAATCATTTCGGATTCTATGATTTAACCTTTTCTTTGAGCACTTAGAGAAAATTGTAGTAAAGTGTTTTATTTATGCCTCCATCTGTTTTATTAGGCATAGATATATAAAAAAAACTATTTGCTATATATATTTATAACGTGATAAATAAACAAACAAAGAATAACAGAAGTTCTGCTTACTCTTCCGGAGCACCTGAGATCACCCCGAGTTTTTGATGGGGTTTGTGTTGCTTAGTCTTTTGTTTTCTATGTTGTATCGTTTGTACTATTATTTGTCTGTTTGTGTTTTTCCTTTTTGGCCATGACGTTGTCAGTTTATTTTCGATCTATGAGTTTGAATGTCCCTCTGGTATCTTTCGTCCCTCTTTTGCTTGATAAATGAATTAGGTATTGACAATTCACTTGGAAACTCAACATATACCCTTACGACACTTACATGTACCAAAGAGGAAATCCTGGATAATCATAGGTCTGTTCTATGTTCCTTTGAAATTTCAACCAAAGATGAAGAGCTGGATCTTCCATCACTGTATTGGATACCTAAACTACATAAGTGTCCTTACAAACAACGGTATATTGCTGGGTCTTCCAAGTGCTCCACGAAACCTCTTTCTAAATTATTAACATCTATTTTATCAGTAATCAAAGCCGGGCTTCAAAGTTATTGTGAAACTGCCTATTCGAGAGGTGGCGTGAATCAGATGTGGATACTAAAAAATTCCAAATATCTTTTAGAGTACATACAATCTAAGACTCTCTCATCTTGCAATAGTATTAAAACATTTGACTTTTCTACACTTTACACAAGTATTCCACATTCCAAATTAAAAGACAAATTGAAAGAGTTGGTATTGCTTTCTTTCATAAAAAAGAATGGCGAACGTAGATACAAGTATCTTGTCTTGGGGAGGGATAAATCCTACTTTGTAAAGAATCACTCTGATTCAAACAAAAAATTCTCTGAGACTGACATTATCAAGATGCTTGATTTCTTGGTTGACAACATATTTGTTACGTTTGTAGGACGTGTTTTTCAACAGACTGTCGGCATTCCAATGGGAACCAATTATGCCCCTCTTCTTGCTGACTTGTTTCTTTATCATTATGAGGCTGACTTCATACAGGAACTTCTTAGGAGGAAAGATAAGAAGTTAGCAATATCCTTTAACTTTACTTTCCGCTATATAGATGATGTTCTCTCACTAAATAATTCAAAATTTAGTGACTATGTTGAACGCATCTATCCCATCGAACTGGAGATAAAGGATACAACAGATACAGTTAAGTCTGCCTCATATCTTGACTTACATCTAGAAATTGACGATGAGGGTCGGTTGAAAACAAAACTTTACGACAAAAGAGATGATTTCAGCTTCCCAATTGTGAACTTTCCATTTCTATGTAGCAACATTCCAGCAGCGCCTGCATACGGAGTATATATCTCCCTATTGATACGATATTCCCGGGCTTGTATTTTCTATCATGATTTCCTTGATAGAGGGTTGCTGCTCACAAGGAAGCTATTAAACCAAGAGTTCCAAATGGTGAAGTTGAAATCATCCCTCCGTAAATTTTACGGACGCCATCACGAGTTGGTTGACCGTTATGGAATAACCGTTTCACAGATGATATCGGATATGTTCCTTATGTCGTAATTACAATCCACTTCCTTTTTCACCACGAATGTGACCTACCGAATTAGACTATTTACCGGATTTGTAATATAATGAGCTAAACGACGGGTGCCACATGTGGAGCAGGATCTGCTTACCCTTCCGGAGCACCTGAGATCACCCCAAGTTTTTAGTGGGGTTCGTGTTGCTTAGTCTTTAGTTTTCTATGTTGTGTCTTGTGTACTCTTATTTGTCTGTTTGTCTTTTTATTTTTTAGCCATGGCGATGTCAGTTTATTTTCGATCTATGAGTTTGACTGTCCCTCTGGTATCTTTCGCCCCTCTTTTATGCATGGTTAAGCATTTTTAAAGTCATTTTGCTAGAAAACTTAAGACTCATTGTTTTAAACACTTTAAAATATATTAGGTAAATCACTGTCTATATTACATGAACAAATGTTATTTAATAATTTCTGCAGCACTTGTCTTGGCACACTGGGTTATTCTAAGAAGTAGAAGCTGACTTGGCTGCTTTTAATACATTTGACTGTACTTTAATAATCATGTAATCCTTATCCTCGCAATAATTTGTGTAGACTGAGTTTTTGGGGAAAGACGGCTTCAAGCCGGCAATTTCCTATTTGGTTGGCCAGACTTCCAAGCTTCTCACGTCAATCATTTTGTTTTTATAGTTTGGAAAACATTTCAAAATTTCATACTGAATTGATGAGAAGGAGACACACAAATGAACAGATTGACTTTCAACACTTTTTTACACATCTCCCTTCTGTTTCTCGTGAAATTATCGTATCTTGAGCTCTCCCTTACACTATTTACATTTCTTTTACAATCCGGAATAAAATGCTCCGCAGGGCGCAGCTTGATACGACCGCAGAGGTCGAACCCTGAACAGTTGGGGCAAGTATGGACACAACATTCAAGCTTGATACAGCTCTGAATTTGGATTGTGATTAAATATTTGACACAGCATAGGTTTCTGACACAGAATGAATGTGGTCTAAGAACTTAAAAATTTTAAATTGGACATTCAACTATTATGGTCCAATATCCAAAATCTAAATACATGGTTAGATTCAGCATATCAAAGAACCCCAAGAATTCAATTTTTGATGAAATCAAACAAAGTTTAATTTTGGACCCTTTTGACCTCAATGTGGACAAAGTTGATAATGGGGCCCAAAAATCAAAAATCTAAATACATGGTTAGATTCAGCATATCAAATTTAAAGAACCCCATATATTCAATTTTTGTTGAAATCAAACAAATGTTAATTTTGGACCCCGATTTGGACCAACTTGAAAACTGGGCCCATAATCAAAAATCTAAATACATGTTTAGATTCAGCATATCAAAGAACCCTAAGAATTCAATTTTTGTTAAAATCAAACTTAGTTTAATTTTGGACCCTTTGGACCTTAATGTAGACCAATTTGAAAACAGAACCAAAAATTAAGAATCTAAATACACGGTTAGATTCGGCATATCAAAGAACCCCAATAATTCAATTTTTGATGAAATCAAACAAAGTTTAAATTTGGACCCTTTGGACCTCAATGTGGACCAATTTAAAAACGGGGCCCAAAATCCAAAAACTTAATACACGGTTAGAATCAGCATATTAAAGAACCCCAAGAATTCAAGAATAAAACCCCATTGAAATTGGTCAAGAAATAAGCAATTTATACGAAGTATCTTCTTTTGCACAATACTGTGCAATTGAATATTTCTTGCTATTGCGCAATACTGTACAATTGACAATTTCTTGCTATTGCGCAATATTGTGCTATTGGATATTTCTTGCTATTGCACAATACTGTGCAATTGAAGATTTCTTGCTATTGCGCAATACTGTGCAATTGAAGATTTCTTGCTATTGTGCAATACTGTGCAATTGAAAATTTCTTGCTATTGCACAATACTTATTTTATAATAATTTACACATCCTGTTTGGTGTGTATCTCCTACCATATCATTATTATTTGCTTTTAAATATAAAACAGAAATAACCAACTTAAAATGGAAAATTTTAAAAGAAAAAAAAAAGGAAAAAAAGAAAAAAAAGGAAAAAAAAAAAATCCCCCCCCCCAAATTTTTTGAATCCCTTATGATTCATCACCCCAAAACTCAATCCCAGCCTTCCCTTTGTGGTATGGTACCTTGCAGTACAATTTCAGAGAGATCCATACATTTGAACACAAGTTATTGTCTGGAAACTAGAAAAATGCTTATTTTTGGCCCCTTTTTGGCCCCTTATTCCTAAACGTTTTGGGCAATTACCCCCAAACTCAATTCCAGCTTTCCCTTTGTGATATGGAACATTGTAGTACAATTTCAGAAAGATCCATACACTTACACACAAGTTATTATCTTGAAACTAGAAAAATGCTTGTTTTTTGGCCCCTTTTTGGGCCCCTAATTCCTAATATTTTGAGGCAATTACCCCCAAAATCAATCCCAGCATTCCCTATGTGATATGGAACCTTGTGGTACAATTTCAGAGAGATCCATACACTTGAACACAAGTTATTGTCTGGAAACTAGAAAAATGCTTATTTTTGGCCCCTTATTCCTAAACGTTTTGGGCAATTACCCCCAAACTCAATTCCAGCTTTCCCTTTGTGATATGGAACCTTGTAGTACAATTTCAGAAAGATCCATACACTTACACACAAGTTATTGTCATGAAACTAAAAAAATGCTTGTTTTTTGCCCCTTTTTTGGCCCCTAATTCCTAATATTTTGAGGCAATTACCCCCAAAATTAATCCCAGCATTCCCTGTGTGATATGGAACCTTGTGGTACAATGTCAGAGAGATCCATACACTAACACACAAGTTATGTCTGGAAGTTACAAAAATGCTTATTTTTGGCCCCTTTTTGGCCCCTAATTCCTTAACTGTTAGTACCATAACCCCCAAAATCAATCCCAACCTTCCTTTTGTGGTATTGAACCTTATGGTAAAATTTCATAGAGATCCATTCACTTAAACTAAAGTTAGAGTGCGAAAACCAATGTGTCTTCGGAGGACGCCGGACGACGACGACAACGACGACGACGACGCCAACGTCATACCAATATACGACCGCAAAAATTTTTTGCGGTCGTATAAAAATCATTATTACATTGGTAGCATTGAATTACATTGATTTCCCAGTCAAATAAAAACCGATAATTTCACATGAAATAAACGTGGTTATTTCACTCTCTGACGTCATACAACAATAGGCGTTGTCAAGACGTCGATAACGTCGGATCAAAACAAATTGTGAATGCGTAGAAAAAAGATATAGTTCCTTACATTTTCTACATTAATTTCATTAAAAAAAGCCATTTGCCAATGTAATAAAAAGAATAACTAATCAAAGAATTCAAATATCGAAAAATATTCAACTCGTGACCGAACAACACTGATAATTAACTCATGCGCTACGCGCATTCGTGAATTAATGTGTTGTTCGGTCACTCGTTGAATATTTTTCTCTATTTGAATTCTTCGATTAGTTATTCTATAAGTATTACGAAATATTGTAAATATATCCAACCTAGTGACGTCATGGTTGGAATTCCACACTATGGATAGAAGAAGGGATATCCTTTACTCATTATTAAAATCATTCACAGATTTCGTGTACGATTTTAAAATCGGTATTTGTTTATTTAAACATAATTATGTTTGCTGTAGATGATTCCAACATCAATGCTTTAATTTGTAGGTCAACTTTCGCGGTAAACAATGGGGATACATGAGATTGGGGAGAGAAACGACAGTTTTCATTCTTTCTGTTACTGTTTTGAGAATCTTCCTCCAATACAGGAGCACCTCAATTGATGAGTGATGATCCACCAAAATAAAAGTTAATATATCTGAACACTTAAAATGTGACATTTATTATATGATAAGTAGTCTTCCATTTAAACAAAATTTTGTGTACTAGCATAATGGTAAAAAAATTATAAAATTTTCAAATGTTGCTTTTTGTAGTTAAAACATATTTATTCATGAAACTTGCATATATCAAAATGTAGGATCTTGAAATGCACACAGCTTATATCAATCTGATTGATTTTTGTAAGTACATGTATCCCTGTGATGAGAGTTGTAACTGGGAACTTTATCAATGGAAATTTAAAACTGAATAGACTTTTCAGTCCTCACTTTCTTGAGAAAGTTGTAATCAATTAAAAATCTTAGAGCACTGTCACAAAAAAATGGAGAATGGCCCTAGCCTGCTGTTCAGTGGTACACAAAAATAATTAAAATATATAATTGTAGAAGTTATTAAATGATAGAATTCAATTGAATTTTCGATAATTAACTTTCAACTTTAATCAAATGTTTTGATTTAGAAGGTGCCGATCTCTTCCATTGGTCCAAATTGACTCCATGATGAATTCTTGACTAAGGAAATGAAATAATATTAAACAACAATTAATTTCAATATTGTCAACCTTTCTACATGTTCTAGCTGTTCTTTTGCTCATTCTTTGTATGAAGACTATCAAAAGATACCCCAAAAAATAGAAACAATGGCCGTCTTTTCCCTCAGAGCTCTTAAGCTCTTTGATTAATCTTTAACACTTTACGGGAGGTTGAATGTGAACTGTCGTTGAGTCAATTTTTTTCTGTTGTCATTTTGGATCCACTTGAGTCGAAACTTGACCATGCTGAAGGAGTGAAGGTCCTTATATCCGCATGGGAATGTGAAATAGCTAGTATTTAAATAGCGGAATTGAAAGTTTTCAAATGTGTTTTGCATCAAAACCTTCAAATCGATGTTTTGACAAAAACAATGCACTTTTCTATCAAAGCCGGTATTTACCTTTACTCATCCTTGGTGTCTCATAAGCCATATGATTATCGAGTATTGAATATCCTGTCACTGTATCTTAAAAAGTATATAAGATATCTTATATACAATACAAGATATCTTATAAACTATATAAGATATCTTCTATATTATATAAGAGATCTTATAAAAAACTGATTATACAAGATATCTTATATATTATATAGGATATCTTATATAGTTTATAAGATATCTCATAAAGTTTATAAGATATCTCCTAAAGTTTATGAGATATCTTATATACTTTATAAGATATCTTATAAATATTTTTTATATAAGATATCTTATATACTTTATAAGATATCTCATAAAGTTTATAAGATATCTTATATAGTTTATAAGATATCTCATATAGTTCATAGGATATCTTATATAATTTATAAGATATCTTATAAAGAAATTATATGAGATATCTTATAAACTATAAAAGATATCTGATAAACTATATAAGATATCTTATAAAGTTTATGATATATCTTGAAGTTAGAATAAATAGCAAAACGGCTTACATAGTAAATGGTATTATGTTTGATCTCAATATAAAATTATGCATACTTTGAACTGTCAGCCATTTTGACTTTTTTTTGTTTATGTTTCGTGTATGCTTCCCAACGGGATTCCCAGACATGTGTGATATCAATATATGTGAACCCCCCCCCCCCCCCCCCCCCCCCGACGTGATTACAATAATCATGGTTTCAGGGGTCTCCTCTCGTCCTCCGGTTGAAGAGAATACACATCCCATGTATAAAATATTTCATGAATGAACTTTTTCTCACGCCATTTCTTACTACGATTATTTACAAATGTTGATTATTAAAGACGTAAAAGCCCGAGTGTATCGAAAGAAACCGGTATAACTGACATCACTGATAACGCAACATGTTTATATTTTGACCAGGCCGTCTGCATCTTACAACAAGTGATAATAGTTTGATTAAACAATACAGTGACAGGATATTCAATACTCGATAATCGGCTTATGAGACACCAAGGATGAGTATATAGTTTATAAGATATCTTATATAGTTTATAAGATATCTCATATACTTTATAAGATATCTTATATAATTTTCTTTATAAGATATCTCATAAATTATATAAGATATCTTATAGACTTTATAAGATATCTTATAAACTATAAGATATCTTATATATCTTATATATAAAATATTTATAAGATATCTCATATACTTTAGAAGATATCTTATAAAGTATATAAGATATCTTATATAATATATAAGATATCTCATATAATATATAAGATATCTTATAAAAATGAAATTATATAAGATATCTTATATATTAAATGAGATATCTTATATATTGTATGAGATATCTTGAAATTCGAATAAATAATAATACGGCTTGCCATAATTTATACAAATGTAGAAATTGAAAAGATTGCGATATTATTAACAATAAGAATTCTTTTATTTCATGAATAAATGTAAAAAAAACCAACACCACCACCTCAAAATAAATATCAGGCCCTATGAATTTTCTATGAATTAAAGGTATAAACCGCTGTCTCATGTAGATTTCTTTTGAAATTTGTCTTCAGTGCTTGACAGCAGAGGCGGATTTAGAGGGTTTTTCAGTTTTTTAGGGGACCAACCCCCCCCCCCCCCCCTTTTGTGGGAAAAATTTTGTTGATTATATAGGGAATCACTGAAGCATGACTGGAGCGGGCCCCCTCTTAGGCAGTCAGTGGGCCCCTCATGAAAGTTTCTGGATCCGCCACTGGACATATCCGCGAAGTAGTGTTTGTGATACTCATTTTCAAAATGAAGTTGAATTCATTTGAATTGTCAGTGAAAATTCAGTCCTTTTTTATTCAAGCTGTAATCTTATCCAAAGAGAAGCAACTCAAATTTCAAAAGCATCTTCCTAGAATTAGTATTCAAACACTAGTACTACATTATCTAGGAGTTGAACACTTGCGATAGTCTGTCCAACTTCCGTTTTGAGGCCGATGTCATAGGAAAGTATATTGCTATAGCAAGCTATAGCAAACTTTCGAAATATCGATAATTTTTTATTTAAACCTCTAAGGCTCGAACTACCTTAAATCTGCTTTCACATGCACATTAAGCCAAAAGTGAAGTATAGAACAGCTTGATTTATAATGTAAGAAGAAAGACAGCAATAGGTTTTTAATGTTCAACTATTTTATAGTGGCTTTTTTCTCCCTTAATTAGCAGTAAAACAAATCCCTAGCCACTTACTCTTTCTCTTCTGTATTACCCATGATAACTCTAATTCCTAGAAAATGTGTGTCTAAGAAATCCAATTACAGTATATTGAATATTTTAAATACCTACATATTTAGTGATAAAAGGTCCATCAAGACGATGAATGCTTGTAATGATTGGTAAAACATTCAGCAAGCTAGTCAGTTGTTTTTCAAACAACAACTTTTTATAACATTTCAAGTCCTTTCTAATAATTGTTGTTGCAAGGTATGACTATTTAGGAAAAAATATACTTCAAATATTAATAATAATTACTAAGAACAAGAAACAAGTCATTCTTAAAGTCACATGAAACTTCTAGTCTAAACATAGTTGAATATGTTTTATACACTTGAATGGCTAAGTTTTACTTTAAAACAAGTGTACGTGAACTTTCTTGTAAAAGATAAAACTTTATATAATCAAAATCTTCATAAATCTACTGCTATTGAATTATTGACCGAACACTAATTCGCCGATATTTTCCCATATGCAGTAACTATAACTACATGACCTCTCATTAGAACTTCGGCCACCGCACAGCACAAGTTCAAGGGGAAAACCTTGATGAAAAAAGGTAAACAAACGTGTACTGGAAGGTAAATAGTAATGACTGTTTCTTAAAGAACAAATTAAATACACCAAATCATTTAACATCTGTTAAGGGAAAGTTTATTTAACAAATGGGAACCTAGGAAAAAATATAAAAAAAAAATACTGTGACTCTTTCAATTAACTAATTTGTCAGTGCTCTACATGCTCTGTGTTGATTGATTATCAATGTCACGATCCGGTAAACTTCGGCAACAAACTCAAAAGTTAATTAGCTTGCCATCAACAATCACTGAATGAAATATTATCTGTAGATAATATGTTATAGATTCGTAAAACATATAAAAAACGTGCATACAGGATTTAGTTTAGTATATATGCATGCATTGGTTCAATAATTTCGATAACATTAATAATTACAAGCAGCTCGTTTCATATGACTTTAATCATTCAGAAATGGAATGAAATGAAACAAAACAGAATAGGCAGCTGCCCAAGAGCGCACAATATGCCCTTATTGTGCATATTAAAAATGTTGCAAAAACAAAATGGGTTATTTTAGTCCTTTGGTCTAAATATAGATACTTGTCGCTATAGCAATCTTACCAAATCAGAGCTCCAGATAAGAATTCACAAATTGGGGTTTTTACCCACCATTTTTTTATGTAATTGGGTGATAAAGTTTTTTAATTGCATTATCAATTCCAATTCACCCCTCAAGCAAATATCAAATTGGGTTTTTCACCACCAAGCTCCTTAATGTATTGGGTTTTTTCATCAACACAATATTGAATATTTAGGCATGTTATAATCACATTATATCAACCCCAGATGTGTTTCCATCTTAAATGTGTTTCTTTCTTTGTAGAATATGTGCTAGCTGTTTTATTTGGTTTATCCACTGACGAGCAATTGTACATTTAATTTGTGTCCCGTTTTAAACGTTCTGTCAGTTTTGTATTTTCTCAAAACTTATGTTAACTGCAGCTGGTGTCACTAGTTGGACAGGAACTAATTGCCTTTCTAGATCCCATATGATCACCCTACAGTTTAATTATAGTTGGGGTAGGTGTGGCTAAGTGTTTAGATTTTTTTGTAATATATGTGAAATTTAGGTGCTGTAAGAAAGTTTTGCCAGTCTTTTCACCTATTTGCCAGATCTACTTTTGAATAAAAATAAAAAGTAGTTTCCAGATTTAAGATATATCCCAAAACCTTGTGGTTTATAGGGTGGTTTATAATGACGGAGACCACATTCAACTTAAATTTACAAATAATTCTGCAACATCAAGTAAATAAATGACAATGTTATACTGCACTTGCAAATAAGACAACTATCTTAAGCATCTAGAACAATTAGACCAAAACAAAGAAAGTGTCAAGCTGCATTGACGTAAAAAACGGATATGTGTATTCACTCATCAACTAAAATGAAAAAAATAATATATAAACTGTTTTCGTTTAATTCAATTTACATAAATCTGGGTTAAATTGTCCCTTATCAGAACTTTTGGTTTCCGATGCTTTCAAACTACATATCATGTCATAATTGATTTCGCCTTTCACTTTTTCCAACTGATTTCGTTTTTGACGGAACCCCGTGTTTATCGCTCTAGCAATGTTCTCGTTATGGTACGCAAACACGCCCGTGCGTTCAATGGCCGCTTCCTAAAATCACTAGCTGAGTCTTGTTATCATCATAACTTTCCCTCAGCTATCAAAAAGAAGCCGAACACATGCTTCTATTCAATATTTTTACCGGACATTTCCTTTCGTTTTAATTCATTGTATGTTATAATAAATCCCGAGCAATTCGAAAAAATATGACAGCATGTAACACGCTAATTAGATAAACTCCGAGAAGATCGAAATGTTTTCATAAACACGTGTACCTTTTGAGCAACGGAAAATTCCAACAGGGACCCATTACAGCTACTTGATGCAGGGTTCTATTTTTAGAACGAAAGGACATTTCCAATTATAAATATTATAAAAATAGATTTACGCGACGACTGTAATCAAGTAAGGGTAAATAACGCAAACGATAGCGAATAAAAGCGTTAAGAACCCATGTTTTTGGCATATAATTGGGTTTTCCTTTGAATTAATTGGGTTATTGAACCCTGCAATGGGCAATTGCATTGGGTTTTTAATCATTTTTATTGCGTGATCACGCAAATACGCAGCTTATCTGGAGCTCTGCCAAATCTCCTTTTTTTTCATATCTTGGAGGTTCAAGTCAAATAACAGTGTCTTAACTATGTACTGGTTACCTTTATTACACAAAACTCCTCATCAATCATGCTTTATAGCAGCTTCTATCAACATGATTAAGTGAATAACAATTAATCATCTGTTTATCTGACAATTCACTTACTGCTATTTGAAATCGTATTGTTCAATGCTGTAATTCTATCATATCACACTGACAGTTGCTCATTTTTTAGTATTTTAAATTCTGATGGTCTAAAACTCAATAGAATCCTATTGATCATGTAGTCAACCCTTATTGACATGATTTTTCTACCTCATACATTACTCTTCAACTAAATCAGATAAAAAATATACTTGGTAATCTAACTGAATGGGCTTTTGATAAGGTCTTGAATTTATCTATTCCTGGACTAAGCTAGTCCTCGACTGACTACTACACTTTGTTCATAGACAGCCGGTCAGAGCTGTTCTATTGTAGAATGTGATTAGTCAAGAGACTTGTTTTCAATCTCCTATATTAGAGGTGAAGAATACATACAGATACATATTCATCCAATCAAATTACGCGTACTTAACATGGAGAAATACATAACTTTCACATTCGTGCATTTCTCGATTTTTTTAAAAGTCACAATGCTTATGTTATTACGTCACAATGAGAGCCGAATGTTCAATGGCGCCATTTACACCGATGCATTGCCATGTAACAACCAAGCGTCAAATCTCGTTAAAATCCAGAGGGCAAAATTCTGCCTCCCACATTGGGCCATACCGGCTGTCTATGAACAAAGTGTAGTATTCAGTCGAGGACCAGCTTATTCCTTGACATGCCCTGATAAAATAAAAGCCTTGAATTTGTGTGACCCTATTTCTGTTTATTATGGAGAGATATTACATTGTCAAATTATGAGAATTAGTGGTCATCCTGTTGGTAGCTGGACTGTGCACTTTTTTTTTATTATGGAGTAAACCTAACCACATAATGTATAGTTTAGATGATGAATGTTTGTGTGAAGGTAAAACTAGTTCAACCTTACAACATTTTTGGCCTGTACCATGTGTTGTTTATATGTACATCTATATTCTCTAAAGAGTCAGTAGTTAATAGTTGATGTGGTATATTGTTTCATCTCATTTTTTGGCTGTTTATTATCCTTTATGTATTATACAGCCAAATATCCTTTATGTATTATACAGCCAAATATCCTTTATGTATTATACAGAAAATTATCCTTTATGTATTATGTATTATACAGCCAAATATCCTTTATGTATTATACAGCCAAACATCCTTTATGTATTATACAGACAATTATCCTTTATGTATTATGTATTATACAGCCAAATATCCTTTATGTATTATACAGCCAAACATCCTTTATGTATTATGTATTATACAGCCAAATATCCTTTATGTATTATACAGACAAATATCCTTTATGTATTATACAGCCAAATATCCTTTATGTATTATACAGCCAAATATCCTTTATGTATTATACAACCAAACATCCTTTATGTATTATACAGACAATTATCCTTTATGTATTATGTATTATACAGACAATTATCCTTTATGTAATATACAGCCAAACATCCTTTATGTATTATACAGACAATTATCCTTTATGTATTATGTATTATACAGCCAAATATCCTTTATGTATTATACAGACAATTATCCTTTATGTATTATGTATTATACAGCCAAATATCCTTTATGTATTATACAGCCAAACATCCTTTATGTATTATACAGACAATTATCCTTTATGTATTATGTATTATACAGCCAAATATCCTTTATGTATTATACAGCCAAACATCCTTTATGTATTATGTATTATACAGCCAAATATGCTTTATGTATTATACAGACAAATATCCTTTATGTATAATACAGCCAAATATCCTTTATGTATTATACAGCCAAATATCCTTTATGTATTATACAACCAAACATCCTTTATGTATTATACAGACAATTATCCGTTATGTATTATGTATTATACAGACAATTATCCTTTATGTATTATACAGCCAAATATCCTTTATGTATTAAACAGCCAAACAACCTTTATGTATTATACAGCAAAATATCCTTTATGTATTATACAGCCAAACATCCTTTATGTATTATGTATTATACAGCCAAATATGCTTTATGTATTATACAGACAAATATCCTTTATGTATAATACAGCCAAATATCCTTTATGTATTATACAGCCAAATATCCTTTATGTATTATACAACCAAACATCCTTTATGTATTATACAGACAATTATCCGTTATGTATTATGTATTATACAGACAATTATCCTTTATGTATTATACAGCCAAATATCCTTTATGTATTAAACAGCCAAACAACCTTTATGTATTATACAGCAAAATATCCTTTATGTATTATACAGCCAAACATCCTTTATGTATTATGTATTATACAGCCAAATATCCTTTATGTATTATACAGCCAAATATCCTTTATGTATTATACAGCCAAACATCCTTTATGTATTATACAGCCAAATATCCTTTATGTATTATACAGCCAAACATCCTTTATGTATTATACAGCCAAATATCCTTTATGTATTATGTATTATACAGCCAAATATCCTTTATGTATTATACAGCCAAATATCCTTTATGTATTATACAGCCAAATATCCTTTATGTATTATACAGCCAAACATCCTTTATGTATTATACAGCCAAATATCCTTTATGTATTATACAGCCAAATATCCTTTATGTATTATACAGCCAAATTAAAGTGTTGTAGTGAACATGATATATATAGGCTTGCATTCAACTAGATATCTTATTAATTCTAGCAATACATTACAAATGTCATAAACATTTATAGGAGAGATCACTTTATCAAAAATAGAATTATCACAAAATCTACACACTATTTCATTTAAGACCAGCATTTATATTTCACAGATTATAATGTTAAAGTTGGAACATTTGTAATCAAGTCTGAGCCTGAAAGTGTTTAATTTTAATAATTGTTTTTGCTACTAACAATAAATTGTCATTATGATTCACTCTTTATGCCTGATAAATATTCCCTGACAAGTTTCTCTGCTTTAGCTTTGTTAGACAGTTTATTACATTTTCCCTGATATGGTCCTCTACTACATGATCCTTTCCCATCCAACAATTCTGCTACCCTGAAAAATAAATAAAAATGTACTGTGAAAAATTCTCACGAACAAAAGAGAGGTGTATGTTTGGGATTTTTTTATTTTATTTTATGGTTTCACATTTCATTCCACTCATTTGAAAACCAATGACAAGAATATAAAAAAAATGAATTTCAAAGGGATTGAACAGGCCCCCAACTAGACAAAATTTGTAGTGAAACCACTAAAAAATCAACCATAAATAAAGCTCCATAAGGAGGGCCACGGCATACGCATATGGTCCAAATACTCATATGGTCCAGAACAGACACATTAACCATTTCCACTCATATACTTTTTCTTTAATGTTTTTATTTTGAATCCTTAAAATAATTTATCTAAAACCTTTCCAATCAAAAGAGATGGAACAAAATATTTTAGCACATACTTACAGCTTCTCATCCAATCAAATTGCTTGAATTTGCCTTCTAAGTTTCATAGTACATACTTTTCCCATGTACTAAATAACTTTGCATGAATGACCACAAGGGTAAGATTTCATTGTATCGTAGTCAAGATATTAAAACAAAAAGAGCCACTGGCTATTTTGGAATAAGATTTTGTGTCCCAAATTAAGAGAAGTGTATGTAATTAGTTTTCACATTGATTTTGATGTATTTGGCTATCAAAACCATTGGTTTTAAATTTTGTTTGTTTGATAGGACAAGTTTCTATCATTTAACTAAAATATAAACAATATGGTTCTTTTAAATACCTTGAATAGAGTACAACACAATCTTATAATTGTGATAATCATCCATCCAGTAATATTATACACACAATTGTATTTACTATGAAACCTTGTGAAGAAAAATTCAAGGAACTTGATGATGATGGCGATTAGTTTTTAATGTTCTTACGGAACTAGATCCCTTTCATCATGAATTGAAAAACCTTGATAATGTCTGAAGGGAATTTGCCACTTATATCTTTATTCCGAAAAATCTTTTAGTTTTCATTTGAAGTATTAAAAAAAACAAACCTACAATCTTATATTCGATATATTGCTAGTTGCTTTTTAATGCCAGCCTATTCGCTAGACTATCTATGGGCCACATTTATCTATATTTTTCAAATTTAACATACTTTGGTTTTACTGTGAAATTGAAAAATGTGCACTGCAATTTAACTACACATGCCTGTCCTTGGTCAATTTATTTTGATATTTTACCATGTAAAATAGTAGACATCGCTTTATCTTAATATACATACTTACATCAGCAGCTACCATCTTTTCATTCTTGAGTCAAGGGCTTTTAAAATCACATATTTTTATTGAGATTGACCTATAAATCATTTAGTTCTCAATTTGTGTTTGCTGCTTTTATAAACTCGTGATCTTAAAATATCACTGTCACAAATATGATAGCTTATAATGATGCTAGTGAGCAAATTTACAAAACATAAAACTTAGTTAATGAGCTCTGTTTTACAAGCACATGTGAAACAAGTAGTCAGCCAAAATAAACTATCAATAGACCAATTTAAAGATTACTTGAGTTGTAAATATGTGCTAAATTGTATAGTCAATGGAATGGTATATACTATGAAATTATGTGCTTGGGGCAAGCCCCTTGCTCTAAATTTCATACTATATACATGATATACCTTTCCATAGACTAACCGATACAATAGTAATCCTTGAAAATTCAATGATGCTAGCTATCTTTGATGAACGCTGTTCACACTTTTACCCTTGAACCCTTCCAACTTATTTGGATCCTAGTAATCATTCCTACAGATATATTCAATTAACTTACTTTGGTCCTAGTTCTTGTATAACAGAATCTTCACCAGAAAGTAAAAATAAACCGGCACCTTTCTCATCTCCTACTGTTAACAGACATGTTACTGACTATTAATAAAATAGAAAAAAAAAAATGCACTCATTTTATTGGTAAAGTAGTACATTAATATCATACATTTAATTTGACCTTAAATGGAGTTATAACTAACTGTAATGCAGCAAAAATAAAAGAAAATTTGCTCCCACTTTAATATGCTAAAATAGGTTGAGGTTATCTTGCAACATTCTCTTTACAAGTAAGCATTCATAATTATTCAAAATATTTGACTGTAAAAGTATTAAAGTTTGATACTCACTTTATCATTTATTTCATTGACTATTTTATTCATAAACTCATTGTCACCTTCTCTTCTGAAAATCAAAATATAAATGCATTAATCTCCACTGTGCATAAAATCAAAATATAAATGTCTTATTCTCGACTGTGCATAAAATCAAAATATAAATGCCTTAATCTCGACTGTGCATAAAATCAAAATAAAAATGCCTTAATCTCGACTGTGCATAAAATCAAAATATAAATGCCTTAATCTCGACTGTGCATAAAATAATAAACTGCTTCGCCGAGCGCAGCTGGATACAAACGCAGAGGTCCAACCCTGAACAGTTGGGGCAAAAATGGACACAATATTCAAGCTTGATACAGGTTTGAATTTGGATTGTAGGTTAAATATTTGACATATTATAGGTTTCTGACACAGAATAAATGTAGTCAAAGAACTTGAAATTGGTTATATGATTTGAACTTATATTCAATCGAAGATTTCTTGCTGTTGTGCAGTTCACTGTGCTGGTGCGCAATGCTTAGTAAATCTGTTTTCAGAATATATGAATATATACAAAGAATTAGTAAATAAATTGTACCCCCAATTTTTCTTTGGAAAATTGACAATTTCTTAAATCTTGAGGGGAAAAAAATTGACCCCCCTCAAAAAAAAAATCCCCCTCCCTCTGTAAAAAATAATATTTGAAGAAATTTTCTTTTAATTTCTTAAATCTTGAGGGGAAAAAAAATTGCCCCCTCCCTCTCCCAAAAAAAAATAATATTTGAAGAAATTTTCTTTTTAATTTCTTAAATCTTGAGGGGAAAAAAATTGACCCCCCTCAAAAAAAAAATCCCCCTCCCTCTGTAAAAAATAATATTTGAAGAAATTTTCTTTTAATTTCTTAAATCTTGAGGGGGAAAAAAAATTGCCCCCTCCCTCTCCCAAAAAAAATATTTGAAGAAATTTTCTTTTTAATTTCTTAAATCTTGAGGGGAAAAAAATTTGATCCTCACCCCCCGCCTCCCCCCCCCCCCCCCCCCCCTCCAAAAAAAATAATATTTGAAGAAATTTTCTTTAGGTAAAATGTGGTACAATTTAAGAGACATCCATACACTTAAACACAAGTTGTTGTCTGAAAACTATAAAAATGCTTGTTTTAGACCCTTTTAGGCACCTAATTCCTGAACGGTTTGGGCAATTACTCTCAAAATGACTCCCAACCTTCTACTTGTGGTATTGAACCTTGTGGTACAATTTCAGAGCAATCAAAATACTTATACACAAGTTATTGTCCTGAAACTAAAAAAATGCTTGTTTTGGGCCCCTTTTTGGCCGCTAATTCCTAAACGGTTGGGACCATAACCCCCAAAAACAATCCCAACCTTCCTTTTGTGGTATTGAACCTTTTGATTAAATTTCATAGAGATCCATACACTTAAACTAAATGTATTGTACGGAAACCAAATGTCTTCGGACGACGATGACGTGATAGCAATATACGATTGTTTGTGGTCGTATAAAAAATGATGCCTTAATCGACTGTGCATAAAATGAAAATATGAATGCCTTAATCTCGACTGTGCATAAAATCAAAATATAAATGCCTTAATCTCGACTGTGCATAAAATAAAATGCTAAACAAATTGTAATGAATTTATACTAAACAAGATAGTCTTCAGTTTTCTCAAAGTGAATATCTCCACTTAAAACATCTGAATAGGGAAAAACAAAGTAAAATAGAAACAGAATGGACACTTATGACTATGAGCAATATTAACTTTGGACCAGCTGTCACCAGCGTCAACAGATCAAAATAACAAGTATTTGTAACACAGATGTAAACCAAACAACAATCAATCATAACTGATTTACAAGTCTTCAAGTCTTCTTTTCTCTATTTTTTTAGCTGTTATTATCAAATAAAGAATTTCCTGGTCATCACATCTTTTATCTTTCATCAGAACAGTATTCCTTTCATTAACCTTAGGATATCCCTCATTTTTGATGGTGTTTGTCTAACTATTTGTTTAGATACTTTCTAAATTGCAGTTAGTTTTTTCATTGTTTTCAATGGTATAATCTGTCATTATAGAATTTGAAATTATTTTTCTATCAAATCTTAGAATCTACCAATTTCTATTGGCTTTGTATTCTGAGTACAAAATAATTTGATAACATTTAAAAAAAGAATTGTATTTTCTTAATGTTCTTTCAGAGTTTTTTAGTTTGATTGTACATTGTTTTAATTAATCCTCATGCTCTATCAACATTTCAAATGGAATATAAATTAATATGAAGACTCCACTCTTGTTTACATGAGGCAGTCATCCCATCCTAATCTGTAAAAAAAAAGAGGAAACGTTCTGACCTATGAAGCACTAACACAGTTTCTTTGTCAGGTTTGGTTTTGAATTTATAAGCTTCCAGTAAAGCAAGGTCTCTCAACAATGATACAACTGCCTGAAAAAAATATGAATTTATTTGATGAGTAAGGTGACAAATCATGCATAGAGCTGTTGTTTTTGAGTTCTTTTAAATTAAATTCCATAATGGCAGACAGCTGATATATATAAACATTTTTGTGTACTTTTTTCTCTGTACCGTTTATTTTTACATTGATCAGTATAATGCAAGGTGAGGTCTCTTCTTACAAAATTAGGTGAGCGCAATAATATACAAATGTGAATCTTCTGGGCTAGGGTACTTTTAAGTGAGTGCCTTTGTTTTTCAAAATTTCTATTGATCTTTGATAATTTCTATTGCATAGCATAGCACTTCTTAAGATTTTGAATAAAATCATCTTAAAAGAAAACTCTAATTATCCAACAATTTTGAATGTTATACTACTTCAGAAGATAGTGACTTTGTATGCCTTTGACTGTCAGATTTTTACAAATATTAGTTTTTAGAATATAAGTTAATTACTTAATTTACTCCTATGTTAAATTTTATTATTAATTAACTACACTGTTATTGGACTTAATATGATGAAAACTGCCTATGCAATATAAAGGTGTCAACTCGGCCAATACAGAATATCTCGGCCAATATAGATTTTTTTTCTGTATTGGCCGAGTTCTGATCCGGCCAATACAGGATTTCGGAACGTCTCTAGTTTTTAGATCGAAAGTCACGATAAACACAAACTGAAAGTAAACAGTTGTTTGGAAGACGCAGTTTTCATTTACTCACCATAAACATGCTGAAACGTTCAGTATGGCATATATTTCAGGCTTAAGATGGTCACATTCATTTAAAAAGCATTTTGAAAGCAGACGATGGAATTATTTCAGGTTTGGGAAACGAGTAGATTATCACAAAGTTCATTTCTTGTCGACCTCATAATTTCACGATGGTACAAATCGATTTACTTTTACTTTCGCTTCTCATGTTTTGTAAACTGTCATTTATTTTTAAACCCGAACCAGGCATATGCATTCTGGAAGGGTGACCTGTAATTGTGCAAATCTTCATTCTTTGGTCAGTTGGCTTATGGATAGTTGTATCATTTTCAACTCCTACATTATTTTTTCAGTTTGTTTCTGCATAACACATGCAATGGCAGTACCTTTCCAATTACTATTTATGTGTTGTGTCTAAATTTAAATTGTAACACTTTATAGTGACTGGAAAGGGTAGAAAAATTCATTAGATGAGAAAATGCTGAAGACACCTGGAAACGACACCAGATCATTAGATAGAGCATCTTATAAAAAGAAACTGAGATTTGGATAGTTCCACTTCAAGGTAAAAATGTTTATCTCTTGTGAAATGAAATAAAAAAAATATTGTAACACTGTAGTTAATTAATAAAGATACTATTACGTGTATTTCTGTATTGGCCTTGTTATTGGTCCTCGGCCAGCTGTATTGGCCTTCGGCTTCGCCTCAGGCCAATACAGCAAGCCTCGGACCAATAACAAGGCCAATACAGAAATACTCACGTAATAATATCATAATACATTGCCTCCATGTTGTCAATAGACATGAATATAATTGACAAACTAGAACCTGGACACATTAAGGATTATTCTTGTCAAGTTTGCTTTAAATTTATTCAGTTGGTTCAAAGGTAAAGATCTTTGAAACAAAAACTCTCATAAACAATCAATTTAGATTTTTTGGTTATGTGACATATTTGTATATTGAATAATTGACATGAAATGCTTAAAATTGGTAAAAAAATTTGTCATTTGAGAGCAATAACTCATATAAATTCATATTGGCAACTGAAGATCTTCCATTGCTCATCATTATCCAATCTTGTTTGTTTTTCATGCTACTAATGTTCTATAATTCAGTTTTTTTAGCTCTCCCATATCTTTAATCATACCTGACCTATATAGTTGCTAACATATACATCATCTGTTCTCTAGTTAATAGTTATCTCATCAGCAATCAAACCACATCTCCCTATTTTATACTGATGAACATTAAAGTAGAAATGTCATGGAAATTGTAAATTTAGTTACTATATATCACAGAAATACATGAAAGTAGTCATTTATTTATCACCTTTTGGGCTGTTTTGGAAGCTTTGACTGCTTTGTCTGCCAGATCTTCCTGTTCTTCTAATGGTCCTCTGAAAAAAAAAACCTTTAATAGTAGCATATATTTATTTATAATCAAGAGCAAAACAATAGTCTTCAGTAGAAGGCTCATCATCAGACACTATATGTTACAGAACGACACTCATGGTGCCGCTGGCAAAAAAAGCTTAAAGCTATTTTTAGGAGTGGAATTTGAGAATGAAAGTCCATATAACTGTTCTTTTCACTAAATTATCAAAGTCCAAAGCCTGTAATTTCGACAAAAATCAGTGAAGCTGAACCAAACCTATACTGGATCTGTATCTCATCATAGTAGACTCACATACTAAAAATCAGCTCAATATGTGAAGGCGTTTAGAAAATAAGCCTGTATAATTGTTATTTTCACAAAATTTTTAAAGTCCAAAGCCTGTAATTTTGAGAAAAATCAGTGGAGTGGAACCAAATATAAACTCGGTCTGTAACTCATCATAGTAGACTTACATACTTAAAAGTCTGTATAACTGTTTGTTGCTGAATGAAGGAATGACCGAATGACAGATAAGGGTAAACTATATGGCCCCGACCACTTTGTGGCAGGGACATAAAAATATATAAACAATAGGTAAAAGGTTCAGGTAAATTATTGTTAAATAACCACAGTTGTTTCACAGAAGACATATATAGTGTGACTTCCAATAAGTCCATTTCCACAGTGGCAACCATATTGGATTCAAGTTGAGATCATCTGAATTTTACTCTCAAAATCAGGTTCAAAAGGCCTAAATAATTCATTAATCAGTATCTTACTTTTTAACTTAATAGGTATGGTGCTCATATTGGTAGTGTTGATTTAATCATCCAACACTTGATTGCACCCAATCTCCCAGCACTAATCTAAATCACATAAGAATATAGTCAATTTGCATTTCATTTTTATATACAGTTGTCTTTTATTTCACACTACATTTTTAAGCAAATATCAGATGTAAAACAAAAACCATTGCATGTAATCCTCAACTATACATGAAACATACGTCCATAATATTTGCAATCACCATATATTGAGAACACTTACTTTAAGATGCTCATAAGAGATTTTTCAACTTGGTAACTGCGACCTAGATACTGTCTGACTCTGTCACCAGCAACAAATAATAAATTTGACTTATTCTTTTTTCCCTTCTCCAGTCCCAATATTTTGATAAGCTGAAAATATAGAAATAATATGAAATAATGAAAACTGGTACTGAGGGTTTATCTTCAATAAATTTGTTCTGTAGGCTCCAGTTTATAAACAATTAATTTGTTCTGTAGGCTCCAGTTTATCTACAATTAATTTACTTTATTTCTATAGGCTCCAGTTTATCTACAATTAATTTACTTTATTTCTATAGGCTCCAGTTTATCTACAATTAATTTACTTTATTTCTATAGGCTCCAGTTTATCTAAAATTAATTTACTTTATTTCTATAGGCTCCAGTTTATCTACAATTAATTTACTTTATTTCTATAGGCTCCAGTTTATCTACAATTAATTTACTTTATTTCTATAGGCTCCAGTTTATCTACAATTAATTTACTTTATTTCTATAGGCTCCAGTTTATCTACAATTAATTTACTTTATTTCTATAGGCTCCAGTTTATCTACAATTAATTTACTTTATTTCTATAGGCTCCAGTTTATCTACAATTAATTTACTTTATTTCTATAGGCTCCAGTTTATCTGCAATTAATTTACTTTATTTCTATAGGCTCCAGTTTATCTACAATTAATTTACTTTATTTCTATAGGCTCCAGTTTATCTACAATTAATTTACGTTATTTCTATAGGCTCCAGTTTATCTAAAATTAATTTAATTTATTTCTATAGCTCCAGTTTATCTACATTTAATTTATTTGGAAAGGCTCCAGTGTAAAGCTATGGTGGCCAGGTGACCATATATTGGTTAGCCAATGTAATAACACATCTCAGTACCACATGAGGCAGCTTTAGTGACATACCTGGTTTTTATTGATGCAGTGAATCTACAGAAGAGGTTTTTTCTACATGTCCTATACACTTTCATGGTAAAATAATTTCCTATTTCCTATTGTCCTTTGTATTAGTTGAGTAATTTATGCAACAATACCTAAAGTAAGAGAGCACCTCACAAGGAGCATTTATGTCATAATTGATTTTGAATGGATTAGAAGTTCTCAACAATAATCTTTAGTAGTATTTTCTACAGAATTCAATATAAGTTTTGACTACAAATAACACAGAGTAAGTACCTTATACAAAAGTATTTCTATCAAATTTGGTTTAAATTAGTTCAGTTTCCATAAAATTTTGCTGAAGGCTCAACTCCAAAATTTAATCCTACATGTCTCGTTCTTTAGAATTATATTTAACTTCATTGTAATAGTTTTAATCTCAAGAAGGTTATCTAATATATTTACAAAAGGCTCAAAAATCATACTAAAACCCCACTGGCAGCTATATTGATTGGGCGGTGGCCATCAAACAAAATTCCCCAACTGGTGGCATTATTCAAATGGGGCTGCATAAAGAATATTAATAAATTGCTTCGCTGGATACGACCGCAGATATCCAACCCTGAACAGTTGGGGCAAAAATGGACACAATATTCAAGCTTGATACAGGTCTGAATTTGGATTGTAAGTATATTTTTGACACATAATAGGTTTCTGACACAGAATAACTGTAGTCAAAGAACTTGAAATTGGTTATATGATTTGAATTTATATTCTTGAATTTATATTAAATTTTTTGCTTTTGTGCAATACACTATGCGAATTGACCTCCCCCCCCCCCCCCCCCCACCAAAAAAAAAAAAAATATTTGAAGAAATTTTCTTTTAATTTCTGAAATCTGAAATGAGAAAAATTGTCCCCCTCCAATTTTTTTCACCTCCCCCCTTTCCCTTATACCAAAAAGTAATTCTTTCCCTCAAGTTATGGTCAGTATCTCAGATAATCATCATTTCTCAATACATAATTTACAAGCAGTGTAAGGGAGGTAATCAAACATTGTTATCTAAATTGATTTGGATTTTGATATGGATTACCTCCCTTACACTGCTTTTAAATTGTCTCAATTGTCCTTTAACAAGAAAAACCCTTGGTTTTCCCCTTTTTTTGCCCCTAATTCCTAAATGGTTCTAGCCATAACCCCCAAAAGTCAATCCTAACCATCCCTTTGTAGTATGGAAACTTGTGGTATAATTTCAGAGAGATTCATACACTTTAACACAAGTTATTGTCTGGAAACTACAAAAATGCTTATTTGGGTCCCTTTTTTGGCCCCCGATTCTTAAACAGTTAGGACCATAACCCCCAAAATACAATTCTAACCTTCCTTTAGTGGTAATAAACCTTGTGTTAAAATTTTATTGATTTCTATTTACTAATACTAAAGTTATTATCCGGAAACCATCTGTCTTCGGACGACGCTGACGAAGACGACAACGTGATACCAATATACGACCAAAATATTTTTAATTTTTGCAGTTGTATAAAAACAAGAATGTGTTCATAGTACATGGATGCCCCACTCGCACCATCATTTTCTATGTTCAGTGGACCGTGAAATTGGGGTCAAAACTCTAATTTGGCATTAAAATTAGAAAGATCATATCATAGGGAACTCTACTATCGTAGGTGGGGCATAACAATATCTACAATAAATAGATTACTATGACCAACAAATTCTTGTCCAGAACAGAATTCAAGCTCTCCTGCTCAATCACAAACTTATTTAGAATCTTGAAATTAGCTCAAGATAAATCAATATTGTCATGTTTTTAAAAGAAATCTTTGGTGAGGAAATAACATATAGTTTTCTGTTACCTGTACATTATGAATCAAATATAAAAATATAACTGATAAAAATAGCTAATGTTAATTCAGGAGCAAAAATAGTGTAAAACCTGGAATACATCAGTTGGGTTTTTGCATGCAAGTTCTAACCAGTATCATGAGGACAAATATTCAGTTTTAAGAGCCCTTGAATTTGAGGAAATTTAGAATGTAAATCCAAGAAATAGTTTCTGTTTTCAGCTTTTAACATTATTTTGATAAATGTTCATTGTTTTCAATTAGATGTTTTATTTCATTTAATTACCTGTAAATGTGCTAGATTAGATACATGTGTTCCACAACATAATGTATTGTCTAGACCTTCTATGGATAATACTCTCACTGGTCCTTCGTGATCATCTGGTAAACCTCTACAACGAGCCTATAATTTGCATATAAGTTACGCTCATATTATATAAATATTGATTTCAGTTAATCAGACAATACTTTTAATTAAAATTCATGCCTTTTTTATTGAATGAAAAATTGAAATACTGTATACAGGTAGGGATGATGGAAGGCTGTATGGTGACCTATAGTTGTTAACATCTATGTCATTTGGTCTCTGGTGGATGGTTATCTCAATGGCAATCATACTTCATCTTATCATATTCATTTCAAATTTTTTTTAACAGTGTTTTTTTTTTTATCGCTTTGTTTTTCAGCTACTTAAAAATGAGGAAATTTCACTGCATATGCAATAGTTATCTCTTTAAATACTTCATAACTTCATATTTAAAATAGGTAACATTCATAAAAAGGGGAACACTTTGCACTTTAAAACTAAACGAAATCTAATTATAATCAGTCAAGTAAGTTGATCTCCGGGACATATCACATTCATGCCAAAAAATAAAATTTCAGTTTCACCTTTTTTATGTGACAAGCATTTTAGATAATTAACAATTATATCAGTTTATCCAAAGTCAGCAAGTAAGTGGGCTTCAACATATACTGCTGGTTTTCTACATACTTCTTATTTATTGAGTAACAACAAATGGAAGTATGAACTCATTCCAGACATTATATTTACAATGAACATACAACAAACAAATGTCTAATGATTGCAAATATTCTTTGAGTTTCTTACAAAAATGTTCTTATTATTCTATTATTATCATGATTGTTGTGTAACTGTTTACACATGGTAACTTACTTCAGCTAAAATAGGATCATCTTTATCATGATATAATACTGGTGTGTTGTCATGATTGTTGTGTATCTATTTACACATGGTAACTTACTTCAGCTAAAATAGAATCATCTTTATCATGATATAATACTGGTGTATTGTCATGATTGTTGTGTATCTATTTACACACGGTAAATTACTTCAGCTAAAATAGGATCATCTTTATCATGATATAATACTGGTGTGTTGTCATGATTGTTGTGTAACTATTTACACACAGTAACTTACTTCAACTAAAATAGGATCATCTTTATCATGATATAATACTGGTGTGTTGTCATGATTGTTGTGTATCTATTTACACATGGTAACTTACTTCAGCTAAAATAGGATCATCTTTATCATGATATAATACTGGTGTGTTGTCATGATTGTTGTGTGACTATTTACACACGGTAACTGACTTCAGTTAAAATAGGATCATCTTTATCATGATATAATACTGGTGTGTTGTCATGATTGTTGTGTAACTATTTACACACGGTAACTGACTTCAGTTAAAATAGGATCATCTTTATCATGATATAATACTGGTGTGTTGTCATGATTGTTGTGTATCTATTTACACACGGTAACTTGCTTCAGCTAAAATAGGATCATCTTTATCATGATATAATACTGGTGTATTGTCATGATTGTTGTGTATCTATTTACACACGGTAACTTGCTTCAGCTAAAATAGGATCATCTTTATCATGATATAATACTGGTGTATTGTCATGATTGTTGTGTATCTATTTACACACGGTAACTTACTTCAGCTAAAATAGGATCATCTTTATCATGATATAATACTGGTGTATTGTCATGATTGTTGTGTAACTATTTACACATGGTAACTTACTTCAGCTAAAATAGGATCATATTTTTCATGATATAATACTGGTTCAGCTAAGGAAGGATCATCTTTATCATGATATAATACTGGTGTGTTGTCATGATTGTTGTGTAACTATTTACACACGGTAACTTACTTCAGCTAAAATAGGATCATCTTTATCATGATATAATACTGGTGTATTGTCATGATTGTTGTGTAACTATTTACACATGGTAACTTACTTCAGCTAAAATAGGATCATCTTTTTCATGATATAATACTGGTTCAGCTAAGGAAGGATCATCTTTATCATGATATAATACTGGTGTGTTGTCATGATTGTTGTGTAACTATTTACACACAGTAACTTACTTCAGCTAAAATAGGATCATCTTTATCATGATATAATACTGGTATATTGTCATGATTGTTGTGTATCTATTTACACACAATAACTTACTTCAGCTAAAATAGGATCATCTTTATCATGATATAATACTGGTGTATTGTCATGATTGTTGTGTATCTATTTACACACGGTAACTTACTTCAGCTAAAATAGGATCATCTTTATCATGATATAATACTGGTGTGTTGTCATGATTGTTGTGTAACTATTTACACACAGTAACTTACTTCAGCTAAAATAGGATCATCTTTATCATGATATAATACTGGTTTATTGTCATGATTGTTGTGTATCTATTTACACACGGTAACTTACTTCAGCTAAAATAGGATCATCTTTATTATGATATAATACTGGTGTATTGTCATGATTGTTGTGTATCTATTTACACACGGTAACTTACTTCAGCTAAAATAGGATCATCTTTATCATGATATGATACTGGTGTATTGTCATGATTGTTGTGTAACTATTTACACATGGTAACTTACTTCAGCTAAAATAGGATCATCTTTTTCGTGATATAATACTGGTTCAGCTAAGGAAGGATCATCTTTATCATGTATAATACTGGTGTGTTGTCATGATTGTTGTGTAACTATTTACACACGGTAACTTACTTCAGCTAAAGAAGGATCATCTTTATCATGATATAATACTGGCGTGACTGGAATTCTCTCTCTTATCCTCTCATTGACAGCATCTTCAAGAACTGTAATCTGTTCTTCTGTTATTTTAGGTGTATCTAATTCTATGGATGATATCTTCTCTCCTAAATTCCTGAACAATATAAGAGTTCACTAAGAATATTGTTTATCTTGATATAATAGTGATATTTTATGTTTAAAACCATTCCTGATTTTTAGCTTCAAGTTTATAGTTTCATTCATACAGATTTATACAGAACCTTGCAGAACCAGTTTTTGTTCATAAAGGATGTCACCTTTCTATCAGAAGCAAAACTAGAGGCTCTCAAGAGCCTGTGTCGCTCACCTGACTCTACTTTGGTTTAAGAAATCATGTAAAGATAGATAAAAATCATAACAGATACCCAAATAATGATTGAGGCCAAATTTTGATTGATATTGGTCCCGTTATTTAATAAAATATCCTGGTGGCCATCTTGAACAGTAAATCGGCAACAAAGTAGCAACACTTGGTCAGCACTTCATAAGGAACATTCATGCCATGTTTGGATTCATTCCATTCAGTGGTACTCTAAAAGAAGACATTTGTATGTATTTCCCATAGGGTCCTATGTTAAACTAAGCCCCTCCACCTAGCGGCCATCTTGTATGATGGATCGACTGCAAAGTAACAACACTTGGTCAGCAACTCATAAGGAACACTCATGCCATGTTTGGTTCAATTCCATTCAGTGGTTCTCTAAAAGAAGACAATTGTATGTATTTCCCATAGGGTCCTATGTTAAACTAAGTCCCCCGCTGTCGGCCATCTTGGATGATGGATCGGCTGCAAAGTAACAACACTTGGTCAACATCTCATAAGGAACATTCATGCCATGTTTGGTTCCATTCCATTCAGTGGTTCTCTAAAAGAAGACATTTTTATGTATTTCCCGTAGGGTCCTATGTTAAACTAAGTCCCCCGCTGGCGGCCATCTTGGATGATGGATCGGCTACAAAGTAACAACACTTGGTCAGCACCTCATAAGGAACATTCATGCCATGTTTGGTTTCATTCCATTCAGTGGTTCTCTAAAAGAAGACATTTGTATGTATTTCCCATAGGTCCTTTGTTAAACTAAGTCCCCTGCTGTCGGCCATCTTGGATGATGGACCGACTGCAAATAAAACAACACTTGGTCAGCACCTCATAAGGAACATTCATGCCATGTTTGGTTTCATTCCATTCAGTGGTTCTCTAAAAGAAGACATTTGTATGTATTTCCCATAGGGTCCTATGTTAAACTAAGTCCCCCGCTGGCGGCCATCTTGGATGATGGATCGGCTACAAAGTAACAACACTTGGTCAGCACCTCATAAGAAACATTCATGCCATGTTTGGTTTCATTCCATTCAGTGGTTCTCTAAAAGAAGACATTTGTATGTATTTCCCGTAGGGTCCTATGTTAAACTAAGTCCCCCGCTGGCGGCCATCTTGGATGATGGACCGACTGCAAAGTAACAGCACTTGGTCAGCATCTCATAGGGAACATTCATGCCATGTTTGGTTCCATTCCATTCAGTGGTTCTCTAAAAGAAGACATTTTTATGTATTTCCCGTAGGGTCCTATGTTAAACTAAGTCCCCAGCTGGCGGCCATCTTGGATGATGGATCGGCTACAAAGTAACAACACTTGGTCAGCACCTCATAAGGAACATTCATGCCATGTTTGATTTCATTCCATTCAGTGGTTCTCTAAAAGAAGACATTTGTATGTATTTCCCATAGGGTCCTATGTTAAACTAAGTTCCCCGATGGCGGCCATCTTGGATGATGGATCGGCTACAAAGTAACAACACTTGGTCAGCACCTCATAAGGAACATTCATGCCATGTTTGGTTTCATTCCATTCAGTGGTTCTCTAAAAGAAGACATTTGTATGTATTTCCCATAGGGTCCTATGTTAAACTAAGTTCCCCGATGGCGGCCATCTTGGATGATGGATCGGCTACAAAGTAACAACACATGGTCAGCACCTAATAAGGAACATTCATGCCATGTTTGGTTTTATTCCATTCAGTGGTTCTCTAAAAGAAGTCATTTGTATGCATTTCCCATAGGGTCCTATGTTAAACTAAGTCCCCCGCTGGCGGCCATCTTGGATGATGGATCTGCTACAAAGTAACAACACTTGGTAAGCACCTAATAAGGAACATTCATGCCATGTTTGGTTTCATTCCATTCAGTGGTTCTCTAAAGGAAGTCATTTGTATGCATTTCCCATAGGGTCCTATGTTAAACTAAGTCCCCCGCTGGCGGCCATCTTGGATGATGGATCGGCTACAAAGTAACAACACTTGGTCAGCACCTCATAAGGAACATTCATGCCATGTTTGGTTTCATTCCATTCAGTGGTTCTCTAAAAGAAGACATTTGTATGTATTTCCCATAGGGTCCTATGTTAAACTAAGTTCCCCGATGGCGGCCATCTTGGATGATGGATCGGCTACAAAGTAACAACACTTGGTGAGCACCTCATAAGGAACATTCATGCCATGTTTGGTTTCATTCCATTTAGTGGTTCTCTAAAAGAAGTCATTTGTATGCATTTCCCATAGGGTCCTATGTTAAACTAAGTCCCCCGCTGGCGGCCATCTTGGATGATGGATCGGCTACAAAGTAACAACACTTGGTCAGCACCTCATAAGGAACATTCATGCCATGTTTGGTTTCATTCCATTCAGTGGTTCTCTAGAAGAAGTTCAAAATGTAAAAAGTTAACGCCGACGACGGACGACGCCGGACGACGCCGGACGACGGACGCCAAGTGATGAGAAAAGCTCACTTGGCCCTTCGGGCCAGGTGAGCTAAAAAAGAAGAAACAAAATGCTTTTTGAAACTATACTATATACTGCTCAGTCATGATCAAAACAGTTTCCAGTTGTAAAAAAGTTACAATTGTAAAGGTATATTACTATTCTTATTAAAACCATATCAGTTCTCTTTATCATGCTTATATTGTATATATATGAACAAACCATGATGTTGTTGGGAATCCAAACATACTCTCTGCAACTGTAGTTATCAAATGTTGACCTGAAATACATGTTCATAGTACATTTTATTTGATGTCACAAATTTTAAAATCTTGACAGAGAAATTGTATTACATTATAACAAATTTATCCTATATTGTGAGCTTGTTTCAATAACAATAAACTGCTTCGCCAAGCGCAGCTGGATACGACCGCAGAGGTCCAACCCTGAACAGTTGGGGCAAAAATGGACACAATATTCAAGCTTGATACAGGTCTGAATTGGGATTCTAATTAAATATTTGACACATTATAGGTTTCTGACACAGAATAAATGTAGTCAAAGAACTTAAAATTGGTTATATGATTTGAATTTATATTCAACTGAAGATTTCTTACTTTTGTGCAATACACTGTGCTGTTGCGCAATACTTTGTAAATCTGTTTTTAGACTATATACAAAGAATTAGCAATTGTGACCCCCAATTTTTCTTTGGAAAATAAAAAATTTCTTAAATCTAGAAGAAAAAAAATTAGCACTCCACCCAATAATTTTTTTTTTACCCCCTCCCCCCCCCCCCCCTTTTCCAAAAATCTTAAATCTTGACGATAAAAAATTGTCCCCACCAAAAAAAAAAAAAATTTTTTTACCCCCCAATTTTTTTTTAACACCCCCCCCCCCCCCCCCCCCCCTTTTTCCCAAAAAATTATATAACATTTGAAGAAAATTTTCTATTTGTAAATTGTGGTACATTTTAAGAGACATCAATACAGTAGATAGGAGTGACTGCCCTTAAATGACGATTTTTTGTTACCCTCTTTTGTGTTTTGGGCAAAAACTGAATAAGATAAAAGAGAAACTGTAAACAGTAGTCTACAATGTTAAAGATGCAACATAAGTCTACAATGTTTAAGATGCACATTGACCTAGGTGAGCGATACAGGCTCTTTAGAGCCTCATGTTATTAATATATCTATTTTTAATCAAATATTTATCAAACCAATGCATACATTTTTATTTACATGATTGCAACCCAGAGTTATGAGTGTTCTGAAAATTTCATTAAATCACTTTGCAAACATCCTGCAGATCAGCGATTCAAAAGTTTTAGGGTCATTAGAAACAGGTCACAAAGTACCAAACAATGTTGCATGTGCAGCACATGTAACATTACCACACAGCCATTTGTGAAGGGACATATAGAAAAGAAAACCTGACTATCTGAGATTGGAAAGTTTAATCATTAACATATGTTCCTCCTGGATCTGGATAGCAATATGAATTAGCTTTCATGAGCACAAAGGAGTACAGGCAATAAGGTTCTTTTTTGGCACAAAATTAAATGCAAATTTAAAAGTTATCAATTGGTCCTTACATTAGTCATTACTATGAAAGAATAAAGGGGTTCAGAAAATAAAACAAATTTGACATTTGACGAGTAACAACATGTCAACAAACCATGACAATATTGGTATATTTTATAAAACATCAGGATTTTCCTTGTTTTGCATCAACTTTTGAGAATATTTTGAATTGGAAAAGTGTAAGCACACCCAAGAAACAACTTTATATTAAGTGAAATTATGTACCGTTAAGTATAATAGTATACATCTACTCTAAAAAATTATTTTGTTGTTTCTTGACTGGGCATAATGTTTCCACAAAGAAAAATATGGATATTACTATTCATCTTTTTTTTGGCAAACAGTACTTCAGAATTACTTAAAAATGAAGAGAGTCTTTACATATAAATGTGCATGCTTAAGGTTTTTTTTAAACTGAGACATTTAGATTACCAGTATGTTGTTGCATATGATCGAATCTTCGAGCCCAATCAACTTCTAAGTTGACATCTGTGCCAGCAGTGATTTCTGTGGTAATAAAATGGATGGCATCAGCACCTCTTCTGTTTATCTTCAACACAGGTATATCATTGATCTAAAGTTGGATAAGTTTTAGAATTATTAAGCATTGCAAAGAAAGGTAGATTTGGAATCCTGGCAAGAAATATCATTCTAATGAAAGAACGTATGTAAGCATGCATACATACCCCCACCCCCTCCCAATTGTCAATGGGCCAAAAAAATCTAACCAGATTCATAAGTTCAAAGACTCATAACTCCTAAAAAAGACAACTGATAAAAATTTCGTATGGATATGCATCTACATATTATGTCCTCATTAACTTCAAAAGTTCATCACAAATTTTGTTGTGTGGTTTCAGAGGAGTTGTGCTGACAAACTGTTGCAGTAGTATATTTAGGTCAAAATTCTTTGTTCAAAGGGGCATAACTCATAGAAACAAACCAATGAATCATAATTTGCTGTCGATATGCACATCTACATAGTATGTCTTTATTACATTTTGTATCTACAAAGATGTATAAAATTCTGTTATGTGGTTTCAGAGGAGTTGTGCTGACAAACTGTTTCAGTAGTGTATCATTGCCAAAATTCTATGTTCAAAGGGGCATAACTCCTGGGGAAAAAAACAATGAATCATAATTTCCTATTGATATGCACATCTACATAGTATGTCTTTATCATCTACAAAGATTTCATCAAATTCTGTTGTGTGGTTTCAGAGGAACTGCGCTGACAAACTGTTGCAGTAGTATATCTTGATCAAAATTCTTAATCCAAAGGGACATAACTCCTAGAAAAAACCTTGAGACATAATTTCCTGTCAATATGCACAATTACATAGTATATCCTAATTATCTACAAAGGTTCAAGAAATTCTGTTATGTGGTTTCAGAGAAGTTGCAATGACAAACTGTTGCAGTAGCACATTTAGCCCAAAATTCTAAGTTCAAACTTGCACAACTCCTAGAAAAAATTGACGGACAGGTAAAAAACATAATACTCTATGAAATTTTGTTGCATGGGGTATAATAAATAAGGCTTAAATTTTTCAATCAGTTTTATGAATAATTTCCTGCAGTTCTAAGCAATAGAGGATCATTCCAAATCTGTTAAATATGACCATTTTAAAAATAATTTAATTAGAACTCATATGGTACTCATTCGTGTGGCTATTCCAATTAAATCATGGGGTAAATTTGATGCAAAGTTGAAACAATGTTGACAGTGTGAATTCCTTTACTTGTATATACTATATAGACAATTGCATACATAGTAACATACTTCTGATGTAAATAAAAGTAACTTTAGTAGACTTCAAATGAATTATTTTTGTGTAAACAAACTTTCTCAAATCAATTACCATGATTAATAAAAATGGATAAACCATGTATGATATTTTCAAAATTTAAGATTTTATTTGATAATTTTTAGACAAATGACAACATTTATTGCATACAATTGTTATGTGCATGATGCAACTTTATCTGAAACAAATAATTTCAAGAGTTATTAATTTTTTTTACTTCATGATAACCTACTGTTAAAATTGGTTAACTTATTTGGAGTTAAGTTTCAAATAAATCCGCCCAATAGTTTAGTACATGTATTAATCGCATTTTACAATATTCATGGATAGAAAAATTCAATTTTAAAAAGACAGAAATATAGTCAAAGGAAGTTGCTTACATCATTTGGACTCTGGTGGATAGTTGTCTCATTGGCAAACATACCACAATTTCTTATTTTCATAAAAGAAGCCTTTCCTTTTCCAAAACTTTAATTCCGGTGAACTTGGTGTAATAAAATGTCAATGATTTTCAATTCCTCTGCTAATGTTTAAAACTTACAGTTCCTTTGTCATCTGGCTGAAAAAATAAAGTCAAAATCATTACATAATTTCTACCAACATATATACTGGTGTACAGAACTTGATTTACATGAGTGTAAAAGACATTTAAAGAACTACACAACAACACACATATTCAATTTGAATCACTTTTACATATCAACAGGCAGTTCTGTACATAAAATTGCTGTCTTTATTATTTATAATCTGGAACAAAACATTTTTTCATTTAGTAGGTAAAGTAGGACAATGTAAAATCATGCATATATTTTTTCTTTGTTTCATTTACATTTTTGTAAAATGATGTCCCTTTGTTTAGTCGTGTTTACATTGATTGATTGATTGATTGTCTGAATGGTTTTTATTAAGAACTATTACATGTAGCTGTCACATTGATATACACTACTTTTATTCTGGAAAGTGAAGTAACAGTCTACAAGTACCCTGATACATTATTCTTTGGTCTAGAACTAAGTGTTAATCTTTAATTCTGCATGCTTGGCAGAAAGCATCAAATATCATTTTTAACTTTTTGGTTTGTCCAGGATAAAAAAAATACAATAAGGATACGCAAAGTGGGCAATAAAAAGACATATGTCAATTTCATCCTAAACTTAACCCCAAACATTATTCAGATGATTAAATTTAATAAGAGGTGCAAAAGTACACCATGTGAGTAGGAATATGTGCAAGTTTCACTAAATTCCATCATGCAGTTCATGAGCAGTTGCAGATATAAAAGTGGAACAGAAGGATGAAGGAATGGACAAACGGACACACTTCCCCATCACTAAATATCTCCCTCTTTAGAAAGGGAATAGTAAAACAATAATTAAAAGACATCTAGAGGGCAGCATCTATAATGCATCTCAAGTCGAAAATGTAGCTCATACATATAAAGGAACAAGCCAGTGAGGATAGGAGCACAGTTAGTTCCAATGGAATTCCAAATGTCTGTTAAATAACATGTCCATCAAAAGTAACAAATTAAGTTGCATCTTGTTGATGTCAGTTTCAGAAAACTATTGTTCGAATCTGGTTAGTTTTTTTACTGAGTATGATTTGTCCTTCCAAACACAAAATATTAGCACTATTATCTTTTTGTGAAACAAAGACTTATTTTTTCAATCTGTAATATCAAAATTAGTAATACATTTTGTAGTTGGTTAAAGTGTGAAGTCAAATGTTTCATTATTAAGTCACTGACATTATCATCCAGGGGCGGATCCAGGATTTTGGAAAGGGGGGGCGTAGTATAAAAGTTGGCCAAGCGGAGCGAGGCGAAATTTTTTTTTGACCTTTTTTTTGGCTAAAAAACATAAAATAAGTGTAAAATGCATTTTATAGTTAAAGTGTAGGGGTTGGACATTTTTGGTGCCTATTCTCTCCATCAATTGTCTATTATGAAATGATTGGATAGATCCAAAGCTATGTACTAATTAATATATTTGATGCAGGATTTGTCAGTAAAAAATGGACATGGAAAATTCTCGTTTGTTGTATGGTTAGTTAGCATAACCTCACAGATTTCTTGTTGTAAACAAGATATACGGCTATTCAATGAAATTAACAATACGACCAACACGAAGAAAGACAAACAAGCAATTTTCATCCAAATGTTTGGTTGAAATGTTTCACCCAACAAGGGAAGTGAGGGGTTCCAAATCAACCAAAGGCTACGAATGAGTTGGAAATGACAATGAAGTTGTGAATGACGGTCGACACATGGAGACATATAGGCCACACCCAGCAGGCAGGTTGCAGTTGGGCCTTGAAAAAAGTATTCAGTATATCAGTTCGGCGAAACAGACATTCCGGTCAGATATGGGATTCACATGCAACCCCCCCCCCCCCCTAAAAAAATTATGCCCGTTTTTTATTCATCATGTTCATTCAATGCTTAATAATTCTGTTGAAAATATTTTTTTCTAATAGCAAAAAAGTGAACAAGATTATTGTTTTCAATCCAGATACGGCCAGAATTTTTGTTTAAGGCAAAAATCAGGGTCAGAATGTTTTCTCTAAAATATCTCAGACTGCCCCCTCAGATCAAATGGTCCGTACCTTAGACTTTAAATCTATATCTAGAGCTTACTGACTGGGGATCACTATTCAGCAATGTTATTAATGGGCTGGGGCGTGTGGGGTTAAACATGTTTTCGTAGGTAAATAATATTGCTGTGGAACTTTTTTTTTCATGAGAGTGTACTAGAGTATTACTTTCTGTTGGGTGGAATTGTGAAATAGAAGTCAATACGTTCTTGCTCAATACTTTGTCACTTTGAAGGCGTCATGCTTGTCATCCTCAGCTTAAGCAATGTGTTACTGAAATTTGAATTTCAAAATGACTGAGTGACGTTTTTTTCGACGAACTGGTCAACTCCACCGTAGAGAATCACATGACTTTGACATAATCAATTATATATTACAGTAAATACGAGCGAAAAATATCTTTATAAGTAAAGAATTGTCGCATAAAAATTAAATACACGGGAAATGGCAAAGCTCACGAAGTCTAGTCTGATTAATCATTTTACAAAAAAAAGAAAAAAAAAAGTGCAAGCAAAGGGGGGGCGTACGCCCTCTACGCCCCCCTCTGGATCCGCCACTGTCATCTTACCAAGAGTATAAGTTTTATTTCTAGTGTTGACTACCTATATTTGTATCAATTAACAAATGACTTAGGCAGCAATCTGGGTTCATACAACAGTATATATCATGTATATTAAGCTTCACCATTACTCGGGAACTGTTGCCACTTCATGACAATATAAACTTACCTGCCCTCCTCCTTCAGGAAACAGAATGGTGTCTTCTAAAACAACCTCATAGCCTTTTATCTTTTCTTTTTTATTTTTCTGGTTGAGAATTGATACCTCAGATGGCACACAACTTTTTACTTTCGTGGTAAACTAAACAGCAAGAAAAAACATGCATAACATGTTATTCGTGTATATAAATTATTATATTAATGTAATCTCTTTATATTTTAAATATGCATTGAATAAAAAAAAACATATGATACTGATTTCCATATAAAACATTCAACCTGTTTTTATTTGTGATTTAACTGTTTCCATTAATCAAAGTTCATTAAGTAAAGTAAAACAAATTTCAACAAAATTAAAAGTCTAAGGTTAAAGTTTTTTCAAGCATCGATAACTTCGTCAAACCTTCATGGAATTTTATGAAATTTCGACAGACAACAGTATCAAGAGAAAAATTTTGGAAATATTTATTTTCATTTTTCCATATTTTAATTACTAATAAACAGACTTAACTTTTTTTACAGTTAACATTCATATTCAGTCTAAGGTTAAAGTTTTTCTGTCATCAATAACTGTTAAACCTTCATGGAATTTCATGAAATTTGGACAGAAACTTATTCTAAAAGACAGTATCCAGAGCAATAATTTGATACTATTTATTTCTAATGGTTTTAGAGATAATGTCTGAATCAAACTTTTAGAAATATAATTTTTTTTCATTTTCAGTATTTTTCTGATAAATGGACTTAGTTTTTACAGTTAACATTTACCGCCCATCTGGGATTAAATGTGTTTGACATGATAAATTTGTAAACCTTCATCCAATTGTTATGAAACTTGGACAGAATCTTATCTTCAATATCAAGAAATAGCATCTTAAGAAAAAGTTAATTTTTTTTTTTTAAATTCTGTATTTTACTGGACTCACTTTTACAGTCAACATTACACTTTTGCCCTGACAACAGCAATTGTAGGCAGGACACAGGGTTCCATGGAACCTTTTACAAAATTTTAATGATAATATGTGCAATTATGTAAGAGGTAATGATGAGGATGAGTGTGAATTCAACAAGTATGATGACAACTAAAACAAGCATACAAATTCTGCTTGTTAAAAACCAATATCTAGGAGCTCATCAGGAAGCACCTGCCTCATAATAATTCAAAATGAAAATAAATGTCATATTTGAAATGTGTAACAATTAATCCCTTTTTTAAGGAGCATCTTTTTACCACGTGAACATCACAGAATACCACAGAACTCCGAAAATTTATCAGAGAGCTACAAACAAATACAATAAAATCACTAAGATATACCTCAGAACATTAAAATTACTCTACAAAAATGCAAAACTATTAATTCAGAATGATATTATTTCTATATTTCTACAAATGTAGAGTTATCTCCTTTGAAAAGTAGAATATATGGAATAGAACTAATAAAATTTACAGTGGTGTATAACTGTAATCTTTTTGTGAAAAATTATTTTGAAATGAATATTGAATAAAGACACAAAAGATATGTAATGTAGTGCATCATCTTTTCTCTTGAACAAACTGACATAAATTCTTTCTTACAAAATCCAAGTGATTATAATATTTTTCAACTAAATAGGCACTTTGGTTGATGTTTATGTTTATAGATGGACATTCTTTGGTAATATCATGTAATGTAGTCAAGAAAAAATTTTCTTTGCTGATTAAAAAAAGAACATTGTAAAAGAAAATGAATATCATCCTCAACATCATCAGAGAAATATTTGTCACATATTCTTTCTTCATAAGCACACTTGGTTACTTATTCTGAACACATAGTTTTTACTTTTTTTGAAGTCTTGAATAAAGTCCAGATATTTCTCACGTTCAAATGAACATTTAAATTTAAATATATGCGTAGTTTACCATTTTTTCCATGATCAACTTATGTCTTGTATCTGCCCACACTTTTTTGTAAAAATTTGAACAGTATGTTTTAAGTTTACTGTTCAATGTATGGGTTTTGTATCTTATTAAAATCAGATTTTGAAATATCAATACTTGCAATATTTGACACAATCATGTAGAAAATATGTGTATCATGTGTGTATTCCTTGATAATGTAACATTTTATTTTCTATATAAGCATTTTCCAATAATGAGTTCTTAGACTTTTCTTTCAAAGCCAAATATTTAATGATATTTTTTAATATATCCATAACCATGATAACCAAAGGGTAACATCCTAGTTCGCCCATAACAGCAAAATTTGAACTGTTTTTTTAGACACCTAGAATATATTTAAAAAAATGTTGGTTCATCTTTTCTGCTGGAAAAGCATTTGCTAATTTTACAAATTTACACACGACATCTGATTGTGAAGTAAGATAGATATTTTGATATTACAGTGTTTTTGTCCAGAATAAAGTACAAACAAAACTCTAAACAACATGTAATATCAAAGTAAATTCTGAAAAGTAATCTTATCCAGTCCCATTTAAAATCTTAGAATTATGAAGTAAGATTGTTATTTTGAAATTATGGTCATGATGATGTTTTTGTACAGAAAAAAGTTCAAACACATCCTAAAACACTGTGTAAATGATGCCATATCAAAATTACTTCTGAACAGTAATTGTATCCCATCAAATTCAAAAAAGACGCTCCCCTTTATTTGCAATTTGATAAAGATGTATTTATTGTTCAACCCTCAGTCATGAAGCCAATGACATATAGGTACATGTATCTCTAAAGTTAGATTGTTTTTTAATGATAGATTTTTTTGTCGTTATTATTAAAATGCAAAAAAAATCGATGGCCTAGCTTAGAACAAAATGTAGTACATTTATTTTTATTTTTTATTTTTTATTTTTTTATTTTTTATTTTTATTATTTATCATGTTTATTTGTTTTGCTTATGCATTACCTGTGCTGTAGCTGCTTGCAGTCTTTTGCTTGTGCTTTATAGTGTTTAATTTTGCATGTGCTACTTGGATACACATATTGTGTGTTACTATGTGCTGATATTTGACATTTGTTTTAATATATATCTTGCCTAGCTTTTATTTTGCATGTGCTATCTATGTATTAACATGATTAATACATGTATGTGCTGTCTGTATGTTTGTGTTGTATATGAATCTGATGTTATTACATGTATGTTTTGTTTATTAATGTCAGTCGGTTAAAGAGCTCATGTTCTTTGTTATTATGTATATATGCATCCCGACTTTAAATAAAGATTACTTTACTTTTACTTTACCTTACATTACTAATGACATTAGTAAATCTGTCATTAGTATCAAAATAATTATTAATATACTTCGTCTTCTTTCACAGGTAACACCTGCCTCATATCAGAGACATATATACAAATATGTATATATGTCTCTGCTCATATTATTCACAGCACTGTAATTTTTTTGTCCTAATTATATAATTTTTTGTAGAAATTTTTTATACGAGGGTGTGCTGAAATTTGAAAATGAAATACATTTTCTGTAATAGGTCATCATTATATATGACTATACATGAGTTTAGTCCCTCGCACATATTTACTTTTCTCAGGTAACTGTCTTTTTGACAAGCTAATGCCATTTCAGGTAAAAAATGAAACAAAAAGTAGAATTTTTTTAATTCAAAATCAAGTGTATGCTTGAATCTAGGTACTCTTGAAGCTTGATACTTGATATATCTATACACCTAACACATATTTATAAATGCAAAGCAGTATAACTCACCCTTATAAGCTGTTCTGGGAACGAAATAGGACGTGTCCTTATAACAAATAGCTGCACTAGTCCCAGTTTGTCCTGTTGATAGAATATTAAAAGATTCTCAGAAAAAAATCCACCTTAATTAATAATCTTTGGATTCTGGGTAGATAATATATAAACAGCCATATATATATTATATATATATTGTGGATTATTATATTTATTTGTTCTCTCTGTAAAAAACAGGTAGAAAACTATCCTCGCTTTACTTCTCGATTTTCAAAGGCTTGTAGACCTACAAAAGATATCTTATTTTTTCCGACAATTTTCATATTAACCGAGTTTATATATTATATATATTTGTTTTATGTTCATTCAGTTATTATTTGAGATCAATGCAAAACCGAGTACAGCATGTTTTTGCTTGTGTGACTAAGGGAAAAAAACATATATACGGATGTGACTAAAAGATGTAGAGTGTTAATCAATAATACAGCAACCCAGCCAAAGAAAAAACCAAAATGGAATCTGGATGTCAGGCAGCATGCGGTTTTCAAATATAAAAAAGGGAAGATATCGAAGAAGCAAAAATGTCTATGCAATTTGCCAACTGCTCTAAATCGCGCGGCCTAGAGAATTTAATAACTATAGAAATACCTTCAAATATACTCACAATTCTCTGCAGCAAATCTGTCGAAACAAGTCAAGTTCCAGCAGAATGGAATCATGCAAATGTTACACTGGGATCTAAAGAAGGAGACAAACACAATCCATGGAAGAAATCACATGCCAATCAGTTCACTAATACGTAGCTCATGTTAACTACTCTAACATACGCTATTAGCAACATGATGAAAAAATAATGATAAAAATATATATATGACCTGATAGATCATATCTGGTAATCATGGTCTTTCCCAAAGCCTTGAATAAAGTACACCGCAAACGTTTACTCAACAAATTAAATCACTAAGGTATTCCAGATCAGGCAAATATAAGAATATTGAATCATTCCTCTCAGTCTAACAGAACTCAAACTGGAAAAAGTATTGGGAACACAAGGCGTTCCTTAGGGCACAATACTTGAAATAGACATGTTCGTTTTCTTGTTTACTATAAATATAAGAATATTGAATCATTCCTCTCAGTCTAACAGAACTCAAACTGGAAAAATATTGGGAACAACAGGCGTTCCTTAGGGCACAATACTTGCAATAGACATGTGCGTTTTCTTGTTTACTATAAATTTACTGACCAGATTATACGTAAAATACAGTCGAAACAACTTTTGCAGGCGATAAAATCGGCTATCGGTCCAATATCTTTCAAAACGAACACGTTAAACTTCAAGAAGACATCGAATCAGCCTTGCAGTTGGTGCCGGACCGATTATTATGCCATTCTAGCCTGGCATTATAACATGCATAAGAATCACAACTAAAAAATATTTTTACCATAGTATATATCATGTACAAGGCCACATACTCATAATTCAGAACAAGCCCAAACAGAAGAATATTTATATCACAGACAACGATTTCTCAATGTCTAACATTTAACAATATATATGCAACACTCAGAAACGTTTTCATCCAATCAAACGTGTCCAATTCCCCAAACGTGTCTTTATGACTTCACTGTACATCCAAACATTTCACAGGCTTGCGTGTGTAGGACGCCGAAACGTGTCTACCAATCTATGAAAAGAGAATGTTTAAACGCTAAACACATGCAGTGCAGGCGGTGTTGCCACGATGTCACAATTTGGCTAACGCTAAAGATCTATCATTTCTGGGTTAAATTTGAGACGAAGTATATATATATAAATTATGGTGTTAGCCCTGTCTTAAATTTTTCACGTGTTATATAGTCTAAAAAGTGTACAAAACAACACCAATGTTAAAATAGGAAACAATACATATTTAAGTATCTACAAATATTTCGGATACCAGATATCCTTTACAGTATGATAATGATGATGTTAAATGGACCATATCAATCCATTCTGATTGAACTAAAAATAATCTTTAACTTTATACACTGAATTAAAAACCGAGTTCAACGCTTACTTGTATAATTCTAAAATTTCAAAGTTGACGCAGGTAAGTATTTGAAACAGAGACTGCATATAAATATGCATCCCAAAACAATAGGAGCATGCGATATGAGCTAATACAATTCTAAAGTTGCACAGGTGACGAAAGTTAAGTTATTACAACAGACATTTCGTAGATATACATTCCCAATTAATAGCTATATATAGCACTGTACGATTTGAACAGGTATAATTCAAAAAAATTTAAGTTGTTGAAGGTAAAGGAATTACAACAGAGACTGCTTAGTTATACAATCCAAATGAATAGAACTGTGCGATTAGAACTACACCTTTTCATTGATCCTATTTGGTGCCAACGTTTTTAATTTTCTAATTCAAAATCTTCCCCGAGTGATTCTCTTCTCCCTATAGACCAAGCAGTGCTGTAGTCTATGGTGATAATAGTCAGTCGATTGAGATCTGTATATAAAAGAAGACAAAGAAGATAAAGAAGATAAATTTTATTTCCAATAGAGGACCCATTATAGGCATAGTCAGTACATTGATTTTTTAATATCACACAATTGCAATAGACAATACACAAGAAAATAAAAAAAAGAAATACAACTGAAAAAAAACATGAAATATAAATTGAGTTAATAATACATGTAGTCACGTAAACCAGTATGTTAAGTGTTTATTGAACACGCACCAGAAGCAGCATCACATCCATTATAAAAAAAAAAGCTTTTGAGTCAAGTCCTTCCTCGTGGCTGATGCCTATGAACAAATAGTATTGTTGTTCATATGCAGGAGTCACCAGGGGCAGGTGCTTAAAGGACACTCAAGCCAATACACAGAAATATGACACTTAAACACTTTACAACACAAGCATAAACTAATACTCAAAAAGAATTACTATATAATAGTCCTCCTTGTGGCTAATGCACATAAATAAGATTAATATGTAGTTATCCAAATGCAGGAGCCACCAAGGGCAGGTGCTTAAAGGACATAGTAATATATTGTGTAAAATTTCTGTGTAAAAATATTTGGATTTGGATGCAGCCTCTAGCACAACTTGTCCCAATGCTCTGAGAGAAAAAAGAAAATACACAAAAAACACAAACAATGGTATGAATTATGAGTATTTTTCATTCTGTTTTATGAAAGCACACATTTCATACAAGATATCCTTGTTTTCATTACTCATTAACCAAATAAACTGATCTTTAATTGTCAACATATCAAAATTAGCACAATATTTCCTAGCACAAAGTATTAATTTACTTCTCTCATTATTTAATGAGGTACAATTAAGAAGAAAATGTAATTCATCTTCAACTTCAAAGCTTGAGCATCTGGGATACAGCATCTGGTATACAGGACTAACACCATACTATATATATACATGTAATTCGTCTCAAATTTACTAGCCCAACAATGTTAGATCTGCAAATTTGCGTTAGCAATCTTTTGTTCTTCCTTCAGCTTGGTTCGAAACGTGGGCCTATATACAGCAGCAAACGCAAATCGATCTTTACCATATATTAGACAAGGAACCGGCTTAACAATAACATTTTATATTTTTATTTTCAATTTTTAGTTGGGAACCAAATAAATTAGAAAATATAAACAGATTGGAACAATTAAGTGCAAAGAGGACATGCACGATATGCTTGCATCAGATATCACAATACCAGGTAGCAGTGTATCTGATTTAATACATAACTGAAATTGGCCAACATGAACGAAAATTGTATCATATGTCACTGATATTAGTAATTTGTGAAGAAAGGCATCTCGATCAGCAGCTTTGTGTTTTGAAACGTCACGGTAGGACCTTTTCTTTCCAAATTAAATAAAGTCACTATATTTCATACTTTTATTATGAGTAATTTTAATTTCTACCCTTTGGCTTGGCGGCATTTTTGCACTGAAAAAAATTATAACACAAAATTAGACAGAGCGCAAGAAAGAGTACTCCGATTTGTGTATGATTATATTTACAACTTGTGGATAAGGCTACTTGAGGTGTCAGAGTCAACTCTTCGGGTGTTCAGAATCAGGACCGTCGTGTATGCATGGTTCTAGAACCTCGGAACACTTCCTTCTAAACTGTCCCCTTTATCATCGAACTCGTGAAGCCCTTTTTGTTAACCTAGTTGGTACACTTAACATAGATACGTTACTTTTATGGTGACCGAACATTACAGATATAGACAATAAAAACAACTTTCTTATTGTTCAAGACTATATATTGAAAACTAAGAGATTCACAAAATAATTCTTGTTGGCTCAACAACATGTCACCCAATATTAAAAAATACTATCTGCATTATATGTTAATTTCCATTACAGTTGATTTTTTTTTTCTATGATATTATGTTATATGATTGTACATTTTCTGTCCATTGTAATTAATTTTGTCGTTCAAAAGGAGAGGAATTTGTATAAGTGACTTGTCACTTGTTTTCCAATCCATGTATTGTATTGATGTACGTATTTATTTATCTGTTTCTAAATAAAATATTGTTTACACTAGAACTGACTTTTACGATATAAATTATCATAAATTATGTCTCTCCTTCGTGTTTGAACAGTCTTCTGGGTTACATCTACAAAATACTCTTTTAGATTCAGTAATATATCAGATGTTCACGGGGTAAAAACATCTACAAGCTACACTGCGGAACAGTCTTGCGGACCATTTTACGAGTTTTTAGCGTTTTTAAAAATTTGATTCAGTCTTGGAATAGTTTGAAATGTTGCTTCTCTTTGCTGTCAGCTCTGCAATTATTTTTTTTAATTTGTTTATTTTTACATGTATGCTGCTTCCTTGTTTATTTACTAAGTTAAATCAACTTTTTAGCGTATATGTTTGCTATCTAGCTCTTATTTTCAACTTGAACTTTTTCGATTTTGCCGCTGCTGGCATGCAGTCAGGTGGCATATAGAGACGCTTGCCGCATGAGCAGGTGATTGCTTTTTGTCAAACAGTTCAATTTAAAATTTTGAATAAATTTATAAATTTTTATATGATTGCTAGCCGCTGAAATCTGAAAGTTTGGGTGCTGCACAGCTTTATTCAGTTGTATTTTTTTATGTGCTTGGTCATTGCTTTGTTCTATTTGTTTGTGTATCTAACGTTTTCAATCGGTAGCTTATGTTTATATGTAATTATGCATGTTATGCTATGCCGAATTAAAATAAAGTTGTCTATGTCTGTCTATCCGATGATATCATCGGAAACTGAACTTCGGAAAATGTGACTGAACAGGTAACATATGCTAGAAACAAAGAAATATTGATGCCATCGTTAAATACGTTAAAAATAAAGTAATACAAATAGTCAGGAAATACTAAAAAAAATAAAAAAACATTGATCAAATTTGTTTTAAAATCTGCTGACCGTCGGAGTCCCTGTGCCGGCTGCAACCAGAAATAATATACAATTGTATTTTATGTCTTTTTTCTGTATTTTCATCCACTATTTTCTCCTTATTTCAATTAAAAAATATTTTTATATTTTTGTTTGCTATACGAAAACGATTTTTTTAAATTGGAACGCCTGCGTATGTATACAGTACGGCAGTACTTTGTTTAATATTATGTGTATTAGAAAAATATGTGTATTGTGTGCAAGTGGGCATGCGCATTATACCGTCAGCCATTTTCTAAAATGCAAATTTTATAAACCTCAAAAGAGTGCAAGTTTGTTTACAAATTTGAAAATGACGACGACACTTCAATTTATTGCAAACAATTAATAGAAAAGGTAAACTTGACCACAAAAAAGAGATTGCACAAAAGTAATCTAAAATATTCTGTCAGATTTTGGGCGAATTGACACCTGTCGCGTTTGGGACAGTGTCAGTGGTGTTTGTGCATTTTTATAAATGCATACTTTTTAGTAAACAAACAGTTTTGACAGCTTACTTAAGTAATAAAAGTCACAGAAGCCAAACGAGTTTGTAGCATACATACTAGTTAAGTTCGTTTGAATATAAACAACCTCATCTGGCACCAGTAAGAGCAGCAAACTGTCTGTCTGTCGTGTTTAAGACAAACGTGAATACTTGGGCCTAAAATAAATTGACATTAAAATAACTTTGGATCCACAGCTAAGTCCTAAACATTTGTTTACAACTATCATGGATATTTCAATAAGTTTTGAACAATTTGAAATTTCTGTTTTGTTAAAATTGACCTGTATGTGCACATTGAAGATACCAATTCTGGCTTTTATACACCTTATTGTTATTTGTCTGCCATTACTGGACACACTGACTGGACATCACAATGGTTCCTGTAAAATTTTAACCTGACAAAAATAAATATCTGACACCACAATGGAAAAGTGATTGTTGTACGACGTCAAAAGTTCAAGAGGGGCAGATTTTCAGGTAAACCAGGGCAGATTTCTAAATAGTGACAAGGTGTATTCAATGGGATCAACTTCACTTCTGATCTATAACTGGAAAAGGTTCTCATACATGTATATATCACTGTGTATAAAGTATAGGTAAAATGGAGACTAAATCAGTAAGACTTATTACAAGAAACATATTATATATGTAAAACATGATAAATCCTAGTCCAAATAATTATGACGTCTAGGAAGGCTATTTTAAATTTTTGCTTTGACGTCTTCTAATGTGGTATGACAAAAAGTCGAAATAAAAAAATACCCACAGCAGACGGCATGATTATCTGGACTAGATAAATCCCACCATATTCTGTATTTGCCTGTCACTATAGTGTGGAGCCTGTAATTCAGTGGTACATCATTTGAATTACCTCCCTTACACTGCTTTTAAATTATGTATAAAGTAATGGTTAATGAACAATTAAGACAATTTAAAAGCAGTGTAAGGGAGGTAATCCAAATACAACATTTTGATTACCTCCCTTACACTGCTTTTAAATTATGTTTAAAGAAATGCATATTTATAAAGGAAGACCAGTAAAAATATCTGCAAATGTTGCATCTTTTTTTTTTTACAAAAAAATCCATATGAAAGATTTGACACCATATTTTAAGTTTTTCTCATTACAGATTTCAGAAATTAAAAAGAAAAATTCTTCAAATATTATTTTTGCAAAAAAAAAGTGTGTGTGTGTGTGTGTGGGAAGGGGGGTTTCAATTCGCAACAGCAAAGTGTATTGCACAACAGCAAAAAATTGAATATAAATTCAAATCATATAACCAATTCTAAGTTCTTTGACTACAGTTATTCTGTGTCAGAAACCTTTTATGTGTCAAATATTTAATAACAATCCAAATTCAGACCTGTATCAAGCGCGAATATTGCATCCATTTTTGCCCCAACTGTTCAGGGTTGGACCTCTGCGGTCGTATCCAGCTGCGCTCGGCGAAGCAATTTATTTGCATGTATATTTCAAATAACATAATTTAAAGTCATTAGAAACTTCAAATTTAAAAAAAAAGTTAAATATGCTATATATACTGGAATGGCTAAGTTTTACTGCAAAACAAGTGTACAAATAACATGAACTTTCTTGTAATAGAAATTCCTTTATAATATCAAAATCTTCATAAATGTACTACTATGGAATTATTGTCTTCCCGTACACTAATTTGTCGATATTTTCCGGTACGCAGTGACCTTAACTATGAGACCAACCACTGCACAGAATAAGTGCGAGGGAAAACTGTGATTAAAGAATTTAAACAAACGTGCACTGGAAGATAGTTGCAACACCTGATTCTCAAAGAACATTTTCATGGTTCATGATGCTGGCTCAGAACGTTTTCTGAAAAAAATTTAATCCTGATTTTGAAGTAAATACCCAATTTGATCTTCATGGAACTTGCAAATAAAACACTCAATGATTTTAATTACTAAATAGGTAAAATACATAAAAATGTTTTTGCTGTTATTTGAGCAATTGCCATCATTTGGCTCTCCTCGTCAGTCATTAAAAAGTTATGACTGTAGTTGCAATCTTTAAAAAAAAATCTTCTTTATATAAACTACTGGACTTAATTTTGTTCAGTACAGTCCATAGCGAATTTAGAATAACACTTATGTTTTTTATCCCTGCCAACCAACCAACATGGCTGCCATGAGTAAAAATAGAAAATGCAGAGGAAAGTAATTGTCTTATATTGTGAATACCATAATAACAGTATGTAAATTGAGATAATCTGACACTTGCAATAATGCACAGAATGTCAAGTTCTAATTAGTTTCTATTTCTACCAAATTATCTGACAACTCTTTCATGTCTTTATACATGTTATAGGAGTTTTAACCCTTAAATAAAAATATTTGACTAATTATGGCATGATTGCCTATTATCTTGAAATATATGACATTATAGACAGAAAAAAATTGTAACATTGCAAATAATTATCAATATCTTTTGACAAATTTGTGTCTGAAGACCTTTCTAAGTCATTATTTTTGTCTTTAAGACAGGTCTAAAGACACATGGCCCGAGACCACAATTAATGACCCTGCTTTTCGTTGTCCACGAATATAGTTCCCTTTAATTAAAGTGTATTTTTTATTTATTTTTTTTTCTTTCCCCATCTCATACATTTCTTAGTTTTTATGGGGTGGAAATGAAAGAAGAGAGCTGAAATAAATTTTTGGATGTTGTATTTTAACTGATTTTGATATGGAAAGAGTGATTAGGCCAGGGGCAAAAAGGTAATATTTACAGTTTTCGGAACATCTCTTGACTTGTCCATAGGGGTATCTTTGGTATGCATGTGTATTGGCTAAATTTGTAAGATGTAAAAGTGCAATCTTTCTGAATGTTGGATATATTTTTGGACTAGCACTGTACATTACACACACAAAAGATTTGACAAAAAGACCAGTTACAATTTTTTAATGAGACAAAATGATATAAAAACTAATAGAGTAATTTAATTGTGGTCTGTGGCCACATTTCTTGGCAAATTTGTTGCACAATGTAGTTTCAATTGTGGGTCAAACCAAATAATTGACAAATGGAATTTGCTGCTTTGTTGCTAATCATTTAGGAAAAGGACAAAGACTGATCAGAATAACAGGTCCTGGTGGGTGACATGTCTACCTGCAGAATTTATATGATGAATTAATATAAAGCTCGTTCAGCATGTATATCTAGTTCAAAGCAGGTTTTATAACTTTATATTTATATAAATTTAACATGTCCTGCAGATGCATGTATATTATACTTGCCACTTGACATTTAACAGCCGTCAATCAAATCCATAGCAAATTTTATCAGAATTTAGCCATTATGAAGTAGAAGTTTCACTATTTGTATTCATTTAGATAAACATGTAGATAACTTTAAAAAACAAAGTTATTAGATTTTTATTTTAATGTATCTTTCAGATATTGTCTGTACTGTGTACATTGTGGCTATTTACTTACAAAGTACATGTCAGAAGTAGTCGTAGTAGAAGTTTGAAAGGCAAAAGTGTCGTTTTTTTCTAATATTAATTTTTTTATATTTTCATTTCAGTCAAGCAATAAGCATTGCATTTGTGAATTGATTTATCTATGGATTAAATGAGGAACATCTTTAATATCTACATGTATAAGTTAATCATGGACTACTTTATTGATATGGGATAAGCTGTCATAGAATGGATCCTAATCAGCAGAATAGTGCACAGGGGATCCAGCACAATGTTCCTGGTCTGCCAGATATAGGGTACCAGTTTCCAAGGATACCACAAATGCAAAACATACTTGGACCTCCTATGAATACATTTGTGCCTGGTTACAATGTGATGCCACAGGGACAGGGAACAGTGATGACTAATATACAATCGGGTATCCCAGTCAGTGGCTTTCTATCACTAGGAAACTCAAATGCATCTGCTCCCCTTCCTTCCATGGGGTCCTTTATTGCAAATCTTAATCAACAATCACAAGTGGGGTTGGTTCAGAATGTTAACAAAGGAGGAATGGAAAATTGGACAGGAACACATCAAAATAATAATACACTGCCAAGTTTTGGTCATTTCTTACTTCCCCAGCAGTACCAACAACAACCAACCAATCAACAAGCATTAATAGGAACTTCATCTCAAATAATCCCTGGCAACCAAACATCACCACAGCAACAAGTTTTCTCTCCAAGCCAACATTCCCCTCAATTTTTTCAAACACAACAGCAGTCACCACAGCAACAGATGTTTACAACAAATCAAAATTCCCCACAACAGGTGTTCATCAATAATCAACCATCTGCTCAGTTTTTCACACATCCGCAGCATTCACAACAGTTTTTTAATCAGGCAATTCAACAACAACAGGTTTTTAGTGGACAAGCACCTTCACATCAGTTGTTCACAAACATGACGAATACACAACAAACACCACAACAAATGTTCAGTACTTGTCAAATTCCAAACAGACTTCCTTCAGGACATGTTATAGGACAAGAAGTAATGCCCCAGGTGATGGCTGCTCCTCGTATGAATCTGAATACTAATTATATTGCAGGAGTAAGTAATGTTCTCGGAGTACCAGCTAATCAGATGCTCCCACCAATTAATCACATAATGACATCATCAGGAAGTCAGATTTTACCTTCAGTTGCAAATGTTTTACAAGGACAGACTTTACCCTCATTTAGTCATTTAGTATCTCCATATGGTGGACAAAATAGTACGAGTGGTCAAATGTTTTTACCAACCAGTATTTCAACAAGTCCTGTCACAACATCAGTTATGACGACTATGTCAAATCAATCGCATTTGATAAACATATATGGTGATCAGAAAGTTTTAAACCCAGATAAATCAGTATCCCAGGATCCATTAGTAGTTCATTGCTGTACTGAAGTAACCATAACAACACCTACAATAACAACAACAGTTAGTCGAACTGATTTAACACCAGTGACACTGCAAATATCTCCATCTGTATCAAATGTTTCCAAAGATAGGTCAAAACTACTTGAAGACTCAAGAACAGTAGTTGTGCCATTTGGTTGGAGTCGTGTTGTAGTGGATAATTCTATCATTTATTACAGGTAAGATATTGTTACATGTATGATCATGGAGCATGTATAATCAAATGTGTCTTCTTCTTACACAGCTTATAGATATGATATAATAGCCTCATACTATTTCAACGCGTAATTTAAAAAAAAAATTATGTCCCATACACACATTCTTCATTTATATATATCATGTATATGAGTGATTGCTATGTTATTTATCTGAGTTTACTAATTCATTCTGTTCAAACTACTGAATGTGTTTATCTATCAAAGACAACAAGGACAAGTCATGCAAGTAGAGAGAACCTTGCAAACAATGTTTTGGTAAAATTTAGTCATCAGGCATGTCAGGATCACAAAAGTTATTGAATAGCCTCCACCTCATAAATAGTTCAGCACTTCCCATCTGACTAACAAAAGGCAGTCTACATAGATAAAAGAAAAAGTAGTACAGTGTTATGGAATAAATGTTCCTCACCTACAACATTGTACAATCATCACATTTATTTTCTATATATTTCATAGCCTCATACTATTTCAATGCGTAATTTAAAAAAAAAATTATTCAGAGCTAGATTTTTACATATTGAAATTGATGTGACTGTTATTTGCTTGATTTGGTATTTTTATGCCACTGCCACGGCAGATGGAGCATTAAGTTTTACCTTTGTATGTCTGTCCGTCCATACGTCCCAAAATTAGTTTCGGTTCTCTAAATTTAGTTTGCCTCAACCAAATGTTATGAAGCTTCTACGCAATGCTTATTTATATTACCACTAATGACAGATTTAGTATGAATAAGGGTGACGTCACTTTCACTGTTCTGGAGTTATTTCCCTTTATGAGTGAAAAAGTAGGCAAATTTGCAGTTTCCACAATTTAACTTTATTTTGCCTCAACCAAATGTACTGAAACTTATACACAATGCTTATTACCACCAAACTCAGAACAAGTTTGAATTTGGGTGGTGTCACTTTCACCATTCACTTTTTTAAATGTAAAAGTGGTTAAATTTGCTGTTTTTGACTCTAACTTTAGTTTGCCTCAACCAAATGTTATGAAACTTATGCACAATGCTTATTACCACCAAACACAGATCAAGTTCGAATAAGGGTTGCATCATTTTTATGGTTCTTGAGTAATCTTCCTTTGTAATGTAAATTGAAAAATTGTGAAATTTGCAGTATATTTACAAGTGGGGACATCTGTGTCCCATGGACACATTCTTCATTTATATATATCATGTATATGAGTGTTTGCTATGTTATTTATCTGAGTTTACTAATTCATTCTGTTCAAACTACTGAATGTGTTTATCTATCAAAGACAACAAGGACAAGTCATGCAAGTAGAGAGAACCTTGCAAACAATGTTTTGGTAAAATTTAGTCATCAGGCATGTAAGGATAACAAAAGTTATTGAATAGCCTCAACCTCATAAATAGTTCAGCACTTCCCATCTGACTAACAAAAGGCAGTCTACATAGATAAAAGAAAAAGTAGTACAGTGTTATGGAATAAATGTTCCTCACCTACAACATTGTACAATCATCACATTTATTTTCTATATATATTTCATATAAAACTATGTTTTTTTTTCAATTTGATTTTCACAGCAGACTGCTCCGTCATTTGTAGATTAGAAACATTGTTAAATTGCCTTTTCAGTCATGTCGGTGTAAACATCAACAAACATAAAAATTAGAAATCAATAGTTTAATCTATTTTTCTTATTTACATAACCCAAGATGTATTGTAACATATGTTCTGCATGTTCTGTCAACTCACCATAAAAGAGCTGCATACTTTCTTTGAAATGTTACATTTAACCTGAGATTTGTTCAAAGAAACACATGTTGGAACTGAGAGTAAAGTAGTTGTGATGACAAATATTCATGATCTTTAAGCATTACCAGGATTAATTATAACCATTTCAAAGATTTCTTATGGATTAAACAAGTTGTGTTATATTTATCTTTTGTCATGTAATGAATGTAAAGGTCCACAGGGATTTAATTGGGGGGACTTTAATGAACTCATCAGTTAGGGGACTTATTGAAATAAGTGATTTTTAATCACTTATTTAAGTAGCAAATTCGAAGTTTTGTCACAAATTGTGATTTTTGTCTCGCCTGCGACGAAAGTTGCAGAAAGTGAGACATAGGTATTACCATCCGGCGGCGGCGTAAACTATTTGTATAAAGCTTTATATTTCAGAAGGTAGAAGACCTGGATGCTTCATACTTTGTATGCAGATACCTTATGTTACGAACTTTCCGTCTGTCATATGTCCAATGTCCTTGACCTTATTTTCATGGTTCAGCGACTGCTTGAAAAAAAAAGTTTAGTTTTTTTGTTATGTAAATTTCTCACTTATTATGAGTAATAGGATAACTATATTTGGTATATGGGTTCCTTGCAACGTCTACATGTCCATCAGACAGGGTTCACCTGACCTCAGCCTCATATCATGGATCAGTGATCCAGGTTAAAGTTACGTGATTAGGTCCGTTTCTCAGATACTACAAGCAGTAGGTCAGCTATATGTGGTGAATGGAATGATTATAAGGGATACATGTCAGTCTGGCAGGTTTCATCTGACCTTGACCTCATTTTCACGGGTCATTGGTCAATGTTAAGTTTTTGTGTTTTGGTCTGTTTTTCTAATACTATAAGCCATTGGTCAGCTATATTTGGTGTATGAAATGATTGTAAGGTATACATGTCTGTCTGGCAGGTGTCATTTGTCCTTGACCTATTTTCATGGTTCATTGGTCAATGTTAAGTTTTTGTGTTTTGGTCTGTTTTTCTAATACTATAAGCAATAGGTCAACTATATTTGGTGTATGGAATGATTGTAAGGTGTACATGTCTGACTGGCAGATGTCATTTGTCCTTGACCTCATTTTCATGGTTCATTGGTCAATGTTAAGTTTTTGTGTTTTGGTCTGTTTTTCTAATACTATAAGCAATAGGTCAACTATATTTGGTGTATGGAATGATTGTAAGGTGTACATGTCTGTCTGGCAGGTGTCATTTGTCCTTGACCTCATTTTCATGGTTCATTGGTCAATGTTAAGTTGCTCTTGTTTGGTCCTCTTCTCAGATACTATAAGTTATAGGTCAACTATATGTGGTGTATGGAATGATTGTAAGGACTTCATGTTCATTCATCATTAAAATGTTAATTTAATGTAAAGCTTATATAAACTTATTTTTATACGACCGCAAAAATTGAAAATTTTTTGGTCGTATATTGGTATGACGTTGGCGTCGTCGTCGTCGTCGTCGTCGTCGTCGTCGTCGTCGTCTGGCGTCGTCCGGCGTCGTCCGAAGACACATTGGTTTTCGCACTCTAACTTTAGTTTAAGTGAATGGATCTCCATGAAATTTTACCATAAGGTTCAATACCACGAAAGGAAGGTGGGGATTGATTTTGGGGGTTATGGTACCAACAGTTAAGGAATTAGGGGCCAAAAAGGGGCCAAAAATAAGCATTTTTGTAACTTCCAGACAATAACTTGTGTGTAAGTGTATGGATCTCTCTGACATTGTACCACAAGGTTCCATATCACAAAGGGAAGGCTGTAATTGATTTTGGGGGTAATTGCCTCAAAATTTTAGGAATTAGGGGCCAAAAAAGGGGCAAAAAAACAAGCATTTTTCTAGTTTCATGACAATAACTTGTGTGTAAGTGTTTGGATATTTCTGAAATTGTACTACAAGGTTCCATATCACAAAGGGAAAGCTGGAATTGAGTTTGGGGGTAATTGCCCGAAACGTTTAGGAATTGGGGGCCAAAAAGGGGCCAAAAATAAGCATTTTTCTAGTTTCCAGACAATAACTTGTGTTCAAGTGTATGGATCTCTCTGAAATTGTACTGCAAGGTACCATACCACAAAGGGAAAGCTGGGATTGAGTTTGGGGGTGATGAATCATAAGGGGGTTCAAAAAATTTGGGGGGGGAATTTTTTTTTTTTCTTTTTTTTTCTTTTTTTCCTTTTTTTTTCTTTTAAAATTTTCCATTTTAAGTTGGTTATTTCTGATTAATATTTAAAAGCAAATAATAATGATATGGTAGGAGATACACACCAAACAGGATGTGTAAATTATTATTTAATAAGTATTGTGCAATAGCAAGAAATTTTCAATTGCACAGTATTGCACAATTGCAAGAAATCTTCAATTGCACAGTATTGCGCAATAGCAAGAAATCTTCAATTGCACAGTATTGCGCAATAGCAAGAAATATCCAATAGCACAGTATTGCGCAATAGCAAGAAATTGTCAATTGTACAGTATTGCACAATAGCAAGAAATATTCAATTGCACAGTATTGTGCAAAAGAAGATACTTCATATAAATTGCTTATTTCTTGATCAATTTCAATGGGGTTTTATTCTTGAATTCTTGGGGTTCTTTAATATGCTGAATCTAACCGTGTATTTAGATTCTTAATTTTTGGTTCCGTTTTCAAATTGGTCTACATTAAGGTCAAAAGGGTCCAAAATTAAACTTAGTTTGATTTTAACAAAAATTGAATTTTTAGGGTACTTTGATATGCTTAATCTAAACATGTATTTAGATTTTTGATTATGGGCCCAGTTTTCAAGTTGGTCCAAATCGGGGTCCAAAATTAAACTTTGTTTGATTTCAACAAAAATTGAATATATGGGGTTCTTTGATATGCTGAATCTAACCATGTATTTAGATTTTTGATTTTTGGGCCCCGTTATCAACTTTGTCCACATTGAGGTCAAAAGGGTCCAAAATTAAACTTTGTTTGATTTCATCAAAAATTGAATTCTTGGGGTTCTTTGATATGCTGAATCTAACCATGTATTTAGATTTTTTATTTGTGGACCCGCTATCAAACTGGTTCATATTGAGGTCAAAAGGGTCCAAAATTAAACTTTGTTTGATTTCATCAAAAATTGAATTATTGGGGTTCTTTGATATGCCGAATCTAACCGTGTATTTAGATTTTTAATTTTGGGTCCCGTTTTTAAATTGGTCTACATTAAGGTCCAA